CCGAGTAGTCGCAAGTGCGACTGCTGGGCAAGGGGTCTCGGGTTCGATTCCCGGGTCGGGCAAAGTATTACTGGGTATTAAAAAAAATCTCAGTATTAGCACGGAGTCTGGAATTGTGCCCGGTATATGGCAATAGGCTCACCCCCGATTACATGGGACTCATAACATAAATAGTAAAAAGTGGATGTTACATTGTACAGTGGAATGGTATTTAAATAATAGAAAAGAGCTATAAAATCCTCATCCATATATATTTCAAAGGTTGGTCTAGAATACAGATGGTATTGGCATACATCGGTAGCATCAAATGCCAGTAAATTAGGACTGTGCTGTGGATGACATTCAACTTATATTTTACAAACAGCTGGCTCCTGATATGCACCTATTAATTATTCGACTTCTTTTCTAGGAAATGCAATTTATATCATGTTAGATACGTTGCAGTATATAGTGTACTTTATGGATAGGTACAATACATTAGAAGCTATTTTTAAGAAGCTGTTCTACGGAATGGCTTTGCTATTACGATAGCTAAGGTTTCATTTTGAGTCAGAGAGTTATTTTTACAGGTTTATATAGAAACCTGTTAAAATCCGCAGAAGGAATAGTTGGATGGCAGTTACTTATACATATAATATTAGGTAAAATTAACACTTCCTTTGAGCATCGAGATATAATGGAGAAATGTTGTAAATATACCAGTATAGCTTTCAATAATGATCTTGTATAGAATAATTTTTCAATCCGTTTACGTATGGGTACTGGGATAATTTATGTAAACACGTATTATTAAATCTAGATGAGATTCGGCCCTAGTCAGGTAAGTAGTCCAGTACATGATTTACAGTACATTTATATCTATTTCCTATAATATTACTCATCTCATCAATCGCACAGAATTTGGAGATCAACGGCTTGCTAGCCGATTTACTGGTGTGAGTAACACAGAGCGCAGTCCTTACTGTCTTAGGTATACATTATACACCTACTAGTTTCTATGCGGGTTGCCCGCGTTCCCATCTGATAAAAAGTAGCCTATGTGTTATTCCAAAATATAATCTACCCCTGTTCCAAATTTCATCCGGATCTGTTCAGTCGTTTAGATATGACAAAATATCGTTTCGTAACAAACACACGCAAACTCACAAGCTTTTGCATTTACGTATAACTAGTTTCTGCCCGTGGCTTTGACCGGGTTCCCGTGAGATATACAACATAACATAACATCACGCCTTTTATCCCCGAAGGGGTAGGCAGAGGTGCACATTATGCCACTGTACAATGTAACACCCACCTTTCACTATTTATGTTATGAGTCCCATGTAATAGGGGGTGAGCCTATTGCCATATACCGGGCACAATTCCAGACTCCGTGCTACTACTGAGATTTTTAAAAACCCAGTAATACTTTGCCCGACCCGGGAATCGAACCCATCGCGACCACTCGGCCAATGAGGCAGTCAAGATATAAAGTATAGTATACATTATTTCAAACCCTAATCTACTCCTGTTACAAATTACATTTCGATCCCTTCAGCCAGTTTCACGTGATTGAGTTAGAAATATACACACCAAATTTAGAAATTTTCGCATTTAGGTACCTATACTTAATTTTAGCAAGATAGTATGGTTAGTAAGAATACTTGTAATTCGTGAACAGCATGGTAATCTTATTATGTTGAGATTTTACGAGTATTAGATCACTTGAGTGATTCATACAGTGTTAATTTATTCGGTCTGTTCATACGTGGTAGTTTCGGTAGCAAAGAATGCGTAATTAGGAGCAAGTAAGTATCTAAAATGGATTGTACATGTTCGTCGGTTCGTTACTCAATATTGATTATTAAAATTTGAAGACGGTCTTGGTGTCTAACGTATTGTTATTGTAATTGTTTTATTCAATTAAAAGGAATTTTATGAACTAAGCTTTCTCATTATTGTCTTTTTCAGAACACTTTTTGTGTGTATAGCTAAAATAATGTTTTAAATATTTACTCGAATAATTATGTTACAAAATAATACTTTAAATACATAAGACGTCAAAGTGCATAATATATTATCTATTTTTTTCAACGAGTCTAGAATACATTCGTTAATTTATAAAAGTAATTAATATTGGTTATTAACTTATCATGGGTGGGCAAATAAAGATGTAGGGATTACCTACTTTAGGTTCTAGGTATTACAATATGTACGTTAAAAAGAAAGAAGCTACCATTAAAAAATAAACCAGATTAGACTGATTTACTTTTACTGACATCAAATTATTATTAATTGTTGTACTGATACTGACATTATATCACTATAGTTTGAAAACAAAGTCGCTTCCCGCTGTCTGTCCATTTGTATGCTTAGAGCTTTAAAACTGCGGAACAGATTTTGGTGCAGTTGTTTGAAAAGATAGCGTAATTTTAGTGGAAAGTTGATAGTCCGAATTTATCGCGTGTGAAGTCACAGGCAGTCTTTAATGATTCTTATATCGTAACGGAGTTACTAGTATTATAGAATAATACACTTATTTGGGTCATATTATGATGTTAGTTACCTAAATAGAACACTTCGATATAAATAAGAAATTATTTTTAAATAATTAAATGTTTTAATTATACCGGCGTTACGTAACGATATGGATTAGGACAATATTAAAACATTATATGAAAAATAAAACTAAAAACTACTTGTTTTGTTTTTAGTTTTGCATGTAGGTATAACATATACTAGACTTAACAATAAATTAAAGTTATTTTATTTTTAAATAGTCCTGTTTTTAAATGTTAATAGAATTCATAATACAAAAATCAGTTCCAAATATGATACCAGTACCTATTTTTAAAAATTATTTTTAAAAAAATAACTAATATTTAAGGCTTGTTTTCCTTGTGACTGTACGGACAACGGTACATAGGTATTTATTTACTTGATCCGTTTGAAAATACTCAAGACATAGGTTTTTGTTTCACCTCTACAGGTTTTTGTAGAACAACAATTAAGGGAAGCAAAAAATCTCATTTAAACAAATACCTAACGAAAAAGGTTAAGAATATTTGATGAATCTCGTTCGTCATACTCCTTGGCCTTAGTAAGTAAATCATACCTTAGCATAGGCGACCCTTTTATCTTTAAGAAGCGTTAACAGATTAGGGACCTTCTGAGTCCTTTGAAAGGGCCCAGTAATCATTACCAAAGGTCCGTATCGATTGGTTAACCAAACAGACTGTTTTATATACAAGGGGGTACAATATTGCATAAACTAAAACAAACGTTGTTTCTGTATATGATCTACAACTACCTATTTATTGGAACTCTTGATTTTGTTCACCTCCTAATATGTAGTCGCAAATACAGGTCGCAAACTTATATTGAAAGGAATAGTACCTATACTGAACTACTTCAGATCTATAGTGATTCGTAATGTCAATAAGAGTCTCTATATATCGCATCTAAGTCGAAACTTAACTTATTTAATTGAGAAATTGTATAATGAGAATAGTCTGTTGTTTGTTTCCGTACATTTAGTGTTTTTATTGCTATAACTGCTTCGTTGGCTAAGTGGTCGCTAGTGCAACTGCCGGGCAAGGGGTCTGGGGGTGGATTCCTGGGTCGGGCAAAATAATACTGGGTTAGGTTTAGGAATCTGGAATTGCGCCCAGTATATGGCAATAGGCCCACCTCCTATTTAATGGGACTCATAACATGAATAGTGTAAAGTTGGTGTTATATTGTACAGTGGCAACTGCCATAATGTGCACCTCTGCCTACCTCTTTGGGGATAAAAGGCGTGATGTTGTGTATATGTGTAGTATGCTATTGCTATTTATTGGTAGAGTAATTGTATGTAAAGTGTTTAGCGTTGTCATTTTTATTACGGCCATCGGCGATGAGTACCTACCTGCACTCACTTGTTTATGCAGACACTACAGGAAGCCAGTGGTAAGAGTTATAGCAGGTGGTAGATAGTTTAAGGGATTTAGAACTATAGTCTCGAAGTCCTCTATCCTAGCAAGATAAGGATATAAATTCTTAGGTATTAGTTATTTGATAATGTAACTTAAAGGTAAGTACCCTTTTACTTAGACTTAGTTATGAATTAAGCTGATGAAACATAGTAAACACGCTTCCAATTAAATATTTATTGAACTGTAAATATTAAACGGCTAATATTGATACAAACTCGTCCAAGGTTGGTTCTGTGACGTCATGGCATGACATTGGTGATCTATCCAGTGTAGGGGTGTGGGCCAACCAGACAGATTTGGGTTAATGTTCAGCATTATTTTTATATTGCCACTTAATTGAGTAGAGGGATGCATGGTATTCCCATTACGTTCGTGAGTAAATAATTTTACGATTACACTTATTTTGGAATATGATTTGCTAAAATGAGGTTTACGTTTGCGAATGAAACCTGCATTATACAGTTGATAGTTTTAAACGATATTATTTTAACCATGTGGGTAGGCCTCAAATAATAAACTGATCAAAATGCTTACATTTAATAAATAAACAATATATGAAGGTTATACATACATAGGGTTTATTTCAGTAATATGTTAACTTAGATAGAACAGCACTTTGTTTACCTGCATTATCAATCGTAGTTCAAAGTGCTGCTTATTTGTACCGTTTTACCTACAAGTACTTACCTACAAGAACGATACCTACATGTCAATATACCCGCTTTAATTGATGCGACGACAGGGGCTTCTAATCTTAATGATGAAAGCAATCGATGAGCCCTCATTAATGACATATTATTATTTCGTCAATCATCAATTAATTTACACATCTTTATCTAAGACAGGTGTCTGTGTGTGTATCACAGACATCATGCTTACTTCAAAACACTTAGATTTTCAGGCAGATTACCACACGAATTAATATTTAAGTACTACCACCTAGCGAACATTTGTGAAATATTGAGAGGGATGGTCAGAATTAGGTAACCTCAGAGTGTAACCCTGACAACTGGTCGCAGGTTGGAGATATGAAGGTGTACTTACCAGTATTCGTCCGGTGGTGGTCTGACCGGATATGAGTTCGCCGGCCCAGTCTTTCGCTTCGGTCATGAACGTGCCCTCGAACTCTTGTTTGCCCTGCCGCGCCGCCTTCTGCTCCTTCTGCTTGGGGTCGTTGGGTGCCAGCTCCGGCTCCTTGTGGCAGCAGACAAACGCGCACGCGCGCCATAACAGCACCACGAGCAACCCCGCAAGGAAGGTGAAAATCGACGACAGCAGAAAGCACCACCATTTTCGTACACTGAGGCAGTCATCATCTTCAGGATAAGTGTCGGTCGACGCTGTAGTCGCCTCTTCCTCGGACGAAGCCATTCCCCGAGGGCGCGAGGCATCCAGTCAGGCGCGCCATGCACGTGCAGCGATGCGCGCGCCCGCACGCCGTGCCCGCGCGCGACTGAGCGACGGCGCCCCGCCCCGCGCGGTCGATGTCGCGCGATCGATCCGCGCCGGCGCGTGCCGCACTGCACTACCGACCCCTCGGAACCATGACCATCCTTCCACCCCGTTCACCACCTTCTCGCCTCCGATCCTCGACGCCAACTGATTCAGCCTCACTCTTCGTAGCGATCCATAAGCATCGCCGAAACCGATACGACAGCTTTTATGACTGCAGATGTTTCCGTAAAGATTTTTATTGATGCCATAACAAAACTGCTCTTACATGAGGTACGTCCGATCCCACGCGTCGCCGACACACGAGTACTTTTATTTCGCTTCTAACTGTATAACGTACCTAATTGAAACTGAATTTGGCGATTTTAACAAAGGTCAATGTATTCAGGCTGTGTCCCGATAAGCGTAGTGCTACGCCGCCCTACTGCGTCAGCGGGCGCTACGAAACTCGTAGACGTCTACGGGCGCTACGATTGGTCGAGCGAAATGCGACCGAAGATGTGTTCGGTTTCGTTCCAAAAGTACCCATTTGTCTTTTCTTTGTTACACACGGTCTATGTTTTATGTACGTTTCCAGTTAATATAAATGAGGCAATTAGTAGATAATGGTAGTTTTTTGTAACAAAGATGTATTACACGTTACGTAAGAGAATCCAGTGAGAAAGTTTAATACTGTCACATATTTAAAATTAAATGTTCTGACACTGAACAGAACACTTACTGGATCGCGAAGGTATTTCCGTCGAATTATTTATCACGTTGTTTGGTTCCAAATATAGTTACTGAGACGACTGCTTACATAAATAATTAGATTTATTGTAGGCTGTATCAGTTGGTGATGTCAAAAAATAAGCTTTAAGTGTTCTCATGTTTTTTGGTGTAAAAAGAATTAAGTACATTCACAACATAAGTAGGTATCCAAACAATGATCATCAAAATAAATAGTCTCTGTCTAGTTTCAGACAAGGAGTGGTTAATTTGTAATTACTTACATTATCACAAGGCAAACCACCCACAGCTTGGCACACCGCCAAATAGACAAAAACTTGATAACTAGTACAGACTAGGATGCTCTGAATATTGTACAATGGCAAGTTGGGGGCACATTGCATATTAATGTTCGTTGCCAAATGGGTGGCATAAATATTGCATATGGATTGGTAGTAACTCTATGGAGAAAGAAATATTTGCCAAACGCGGGCTGCCCTATGGTTCCGTGCTATGTTTAACATACATTTACTTACACTTTATCTCACCAAGAAGTGAAGTATCTACTTATTTTTATATATTTAATAACTTCTACAAGAGGTTTGACCTACCCGTGCGCGATAACTTCATAATTGCGTGAATGTGACGTTATCGGTTATACGAATTGTCTTGTGTATACCTATTCATAAAAAATGCTTTGGATAAGGCCTATGTGCGTATGTTGACCAGTATACTGTTTATGTACGCTACTATCCGCTTTTTGTGGCTAGTGGCTACGTGGTTTAAAATCATAAAAATCGAGTCAAAAAATTTTTCAACCTTCATAGTTAAGTTTAAATGAATTTATGTTGGTTATAAAATAATTATTATTTTACTAACTTATATAGTTGTAGGAAAAAAATCCTATCTCTATCTGGCGAAAATTGGGCGGTACAACTTAGGTGCCGGCTTGGAGAATATTACAGGTAGGTATTTTACTTAGTTTGAAACTTAGTAATCCTTAAGTATTCGAATAATTTTAAGAAAAAAGGGTTGTGTATGTACTTATTATTTAGGTAAGTACTTAATCATCATCACCTTATTTTTATAGTAGGTAGGTACCTACTTGATATCTTGTGATTTATTCCTTTGAGGGAACAAAGACAGTTATTCATGTAGGTACACATACGTGTGACGAGCTATACTTCAGTGTTCCGGTGTTTTCATTGTTGTATTTACTTACTATACACACACAGGAGTTGCATAGGTTTTGAAAGGTTTTGCTTGCCTTATCCTATTTAAAATAGCCAGCATATCATCCTCCTCCAATCTGTTAAATTAATTAATTGGATTTTCGTCTTAATGTCAATACAATAAAGTTGAAGATGTAATAGGTTTGACACAAAAGGATAGATTGGCCTGTTGGCCACCGTACTCCTGGAGGCAGGCCTCTTCAATAGCATAGGGGAGGATGGGGGATTTACGGACGCTGAAGGGAAATAACGCACAACATTCGGACTATCAGTAATAATCAGTCTGTCTTTATTAATTATTAATCTTTAGTTATACATCTACAAAAACAATTAACCTTAGTAAACGAGATCAATCAACAAATAGAATATTTTCAGCAAAAACAAAACCTTGTCTGTCCGTAATTACCCGTAGCGCTCGGGGTAAATTCGGACGGACCCTGAGTTAATTACGGACAGCATGGGGTATTTACGGACTAGGTCCACATCATCGACAAAAATCACAAGTAAAGCCTTTAGAAGAACTTCCTTCAGTGCAGTTCTCATGAGCCCACTTGTTACACTTTGAACACATAATCCAGTCTTCGGCGGGTGGATCACTGTACTTTTCCTGACAATAAATGCAAAAGTAATCAACATTTTCTTCATTTTCAAAATTATTCAGATTTCTTACACCCTTTGATCCTTTTCCTGTAGAAAGTTTTGACTTTTTTAGCTTATTAGATGTAGTTTTATTTTCTTTTTCTTGAGCTTTTCTTTTTTTATCTACTTTCTTTTGGTTCTTTTCTTCTAGATTCTTTTTTTCCGGTGTGCTGGTAAAAATAATGGAATGCTTTTTGTTTACTGCCCGTTTGCTACGATGAATTTGTAGAGTTGGGACCTTTATTAAATCACTAAGCGGTACTGATGACGATTGGCTTGTTTGACTTGTCGTACATTGGTATAAATCGGCTTCACTTATAGCATTATTCTCATTTATTTCGTCTTGATCAGATACATTGGTAACGGATTCATTAATAATGTTTATGTTACTAGAGAGCTGAGACTCTTGTTGAGATCTTACTTCACTAGGAATACTGTTATTAGCTGCATCACTAATTTGAGATTTGCTATGAAACTCTCTTTGGCTGTCATGATCAGGACCCACCTGGCTGGTATCACATGGAGTTTCTGATGTAATTATATCACCGAAACTTTCGAAAGTGCCCTTGAATTTATCTTGATCAACTGGGAAAATTCCAGCACTCTTGAAGCCATTTATAGCTTTATCAATTGACGAGCATCGGTTAAAAGCTTTTGTATAAAGACCAACAATATCAAATGCTGTAATTTTTGCTCCAGGATGATTAACCATATAGGTTTCACATTCTCTATTGTATTGTGTTTTTAGTGGTCCATGAAAGGTCAAGTCTAATGGCTGCATTCTATGCGATGTATGTGGAGGCAATGTCAAAACATGGATAAAATTTTTACGACAGAACTCGTAAGCTTTCAGACTAATATGGCTCTCGTGGTTGTCTAGAACTAACAAAACGGGATTGTCAGCCGATGGTTTAGCAAATCCTTTAAAATGCTGGAGCCAATCAACAAATATCGATTCATTGATCCAACCAGAGTCCGAAATACAAGCTACCATGTTGCTATTACTATCTTTCATAAGCTGAGCATTCATCCTTTTTCTTTTAAAGATAAAAAATGGTGGGATGTACGAGCCTCCAGCATTAAAACAGTTCACGACTGTAGTTAAAGAACCACGTTCTGCACTGGTACATTTTCCAACCTGTTTTAGTCCCTTTGGTGCAAGAATCCTGGAATTGCGTTGTACTGTACTAATCCCAGTTTCATCTATGTTGTAAATTGAATCAGATTTAAATTTGTATTTAATCATGAGTGCTTTCAGATTCACAAAAAATATATCGGTTTCTTCTTCATTAAATGCGGTAATTCTATTTATAGAAGTAGCTTCAGGCCTTCGAAGTGATATGTTTGGATGTCTGGCCAAAAAATTGTAATACCAATCCATTCCTGCCATACCAGTTTCTTTATTGAAATTATGTTTTAAGTTGTTTGCGGTTGCAAAATCGAAAGCTATCTTTCTTAGAGTAGGTATTGTTATCCCAAAGAAAGCCTTACATGACTTTAAAATAAAATCAAGCAGTTCGTTTTCTTGTATTTCGTTAAAAACAGTTTTTTTACCTCTCTTTGGTAATGTAGAAACACTGCCTTTTTTCACTTGGTCAAACAAAGTAGCTCTGGGAATACCATATTTTTCTTCCGCCTGACGAAAAGTTATCTTCCGGTCTTTTATTTCTTCCACAGCTTTTTGTAATAATTCGATGGTGTATGACTGTTCTTTTTTCTTATATATTTCCGAGGCATCTAAAAATGAGCAGTTATTGATTAATTTCACAATAGTTTATCGAATTAGGGGTAATTGCGGACGTTCGTATTTACCCCGCAAGGCTTGTCCGCAATTAACCCAACTGAATATTTTTAAATCAAAGAGAGAAATTTGTAGGTTACGAAAACGTTCAACAAAAATAAACATTGGCGATTCAAACTCCATTGACAAAGCTATCTATAGAAAATATCACTTTTTACCATCACTTAGTATACAGACCTGTCCCTCGTATTAAAAAAACATTAAAAATTAGATCAATATACACTTTTTTTTTCAATTTTACCTACCTTTTAAACTGCGCACAGCCGGCTGTCATAACTTTTTGCGTGGCACTAAAATGGCGGAAAGAAACAGATGACAGCACCAGGCTACCGCGGGGGGGAGGGAATGAGTAGATACTTGCTAGTCCGTATTTACCCCGCGTCCGCAATTCCCCCACCCTCCCCTACTACTAACTTTGATTCAGCTCTTCACATCCAACTACTGCCATTTAAGTATGATGCGGCACGATAAACATCGTCATTCCGTTCTACGAAAAATATAAATACTTACCTAACCCAATTTGCAGCGTGCACGTGATTGTGTCAAAAGAAAACCCATTTAGGTAGTTTAATTTAAACGATTTGATTGAACATCAATGGTCACTAAGAATCCCAGCAGTTACTCTGTTAACCGCGTAGGTAGGAATGAATGTTCAGCCTTGTTATCTTATTGAAAAATCACGTGCAAAATGTATGCAACTACTTTTCTAAGAAATCATTTATGTAGCCATTTCTTAACAGTAGCAAGTGATAGGCAAGTCCTATTCTGGTAGTATCTGAATACCTACCTGAGATTCTTGGGAAGTGTGTAAGTAGGTACTCTTGAAGACAGTTACAGTAACGGCAAGTCGGTGCCAGGTCTACCTATTAGGTATAGGTAAGCACAATAATTGTGAGCACCCATTACAAGCAATAAGTAGATGCTAGATGAGTGTAGAAACCTAGTTTACCTATGTAGTTAGTTACAGACTTCACAGCTTTTTTTGAGAGGGGAACATCATCCAGTTAATTCTCCCGCCTTGGGTCAGACACTGAATAAAAATCACCACGTTCGTAGATACTCCTGCTCCGAGCCGGAGTCACAGTAACTCGCTAGGTCTTCCGTAGCTCCGGAATAGGTAGGTATCTACTTTTGTTTTAGAGAACACTTCTTACTTAGTTGGCTAAGTATAATGCACCTGCTTACTGGGTCTTATGTTTGTGACAGTAACAGGTTGCTGGCTCTATTCCAACTTGCACCATAGATCGGAGACATAGTATAAAGAACAAAGTAGGTTATCTTCATACAAATGCTCCGCGCGCGGCTTATATGTGTGCGCCATAGTATCTATGCGTCGACGCACGCACACTTTAACAAAATCTCGACCCGTTTCTCAGTGCGCCAGGCAGGGCTGACACTGTACGAGGTTCGCGCGCGCTTCACGGCTTTTCGGCACTGTTCAATGAAATAAAAAATGTCTGATAATCGTAGAAGAACGTATTGCTGTGTGTTTGGGTGTCTTAATAATTAATCGATTCCAGAACTGTCTCTGTTCAGATTAGGTACCTATTGAACAGGAAAGGTAAGCTAGTCACTTTTTCTAGCATAATATAATTTGTAGGTACTTGATGATGAGATACCTACTTACTTATTCTTACTCTTATCATTCTTCATAGTTCCTACTCAACCAGAAATGTAATTACCTACTATACTTAAATATTATAAGAAAAATGTGGTATTGTATTGTTTATTTCACAGTTTATCTGATTTGTTAAGAGCGTAGCGAGTCGCATTTTTCCATATAAATGTATTCCCAATTTACTTCTGAATACTATGTATAGAGCTAAAGTTTATTTTAAGAAGTTAATACTTTTTATAAGCTTTTAATTTTTACTAAATTTATAAATTGATAAAATATTCAATCATAATATGCTTTTCATTTCATAAATAAATTTAGATCAAGTGCTGCTTGTTCGAAAATATTAACTAAAAGTAAAAGTGACAACCCTGGGGATCAACGCAAGAGTAGGCTAATAACTCGGCGGGCGGCCTTAGATAACCTACTGTGTTCTTTATACTATGTCGGAGATAAACGATAAACACATCAGTAATTTGTATGCAGTTGAATTTTTGTAACCCCTGTAGATAGTAGGTTATTCAATAATTTGAATGTTACCTATAAGTGAAATGTTGTTGTCGTTTGTCGGTGTGTGCAGATTGTTTAGTTCATTTCTAGGTACAAGGTTTGTACTATCTGCTTATTGATTTGGACTTTTCTAGGAGCGAAATATTGGATACTTACCTGAATTTTTTTTAAGGGGGGAAAATCATCGAATGACTGCTCCCGCCTGGGTGAGGCGGAAGGGAGTGTCAGACTCTTACTGACTAAAAACCACCCCGTTCCTTCTCCTGCACGTCGAGCCGTAGCACCGGTAACACGTTAGGTTTTCCGCGACATAGTTACCTGGATAAGGTAGATATTTCATTATCTGTCAATAAAAAAAATTCGTAGGTAGACAACTTCTCAAGACATAGAATTGGGTAAGATCGGTCGATTTTAATAATCGATATCTATGGTCAATCCAAGTTTTTGATAGAATCTCCGTACATCTAAATTAAAATCAAAAATCGAACTCTAGTAACCGGTGAAAGTGCCGTAGTTTAAGTAGATACCTACACCTTTGTTGTACCGTCAGAATGATATGAGGCTTATAAACAACGATATTTTGTGGCACAAAGTATTTCAGAATAAAATAATGATGGCTTACAATTTTTAGCAGGGAGTTCATCTTAACTTCTAACTAGACAATCAAAACTTGAATTCCATCTATACTTGGAGATCTTGGCAGTACTTCCTACAATGTACAACATAGATTGGTGATAGAAAAAAATATCAATTTTCTTTAAAATCATATATTTTCCTTAAACTAACAAATTACATGTTTGACTTAGAAGTTTTCACACAAACATTGTTTTTAAAACCATATTTTGTCATTTTTTACAAAAGTAGTTTATAGGTTTACTAAATTATTTGTTTAGAAATTGCTGCGACGCAAGGAGAAGCAAGTTTTTAAATTGTTAAAACTATCTACTAACCCATAATAAATGCAAAATCATCTATGAATAGAAACATCACTAGCCATTTCAAAATAATTGTTCATATTGCTTTGAATATAGTGTAATGAAATTGATGTGACATGGTCTACTCCACCATAAGAATTCAAAGCTATCATTTTTAAATAAGTCTTTTTGAATCTTAGCCTGTATGACTATATCAAGAACACTGAATATTCTGAAATAATCTATCTAAAATGTTGTGACATTATATTAATACCATGTACTAATTCTCAGGGACTGTATCTCCAATCCATTTCAAATATGGAGGGTTTCCATTCTTGATTGGCAGTGAGATTACTTCGCAGACAGAGTAAGGATGGTTGGTGCGAACAAACTCTGTCAGTTTGTCCACTTGTGTTGTTCTCGTTTTAATCATCAGCAGAGCCTGGAAGTAGAGAATGGGTATATTAATTATATTAATAGTATTTATACAAAATTAACAGAATCATAAACATATTCCTTGCATTAAAAATGCAATTTTTTATTTTTGTTACATCGGTACTTAAACATAAGTAATTCTAACTAATAATGAAGACATTTTCCATTATTATATCATGCTGCTCCCAGCTGTAAGGGGCCTCGTTCAGAGGTTTTCATCTGAACTGCTCTGTTTTTTATTGGGAAAGGTGCTGACGTGATGAATTAGACACAGGCCCCAAACGGTATAGTTACGCCACTGATCATACTATATGTTTAACAGTATAATGTCTTGTTAAACCCATCAATCTGCTATAACAAAAAAGGTTCTAATAAAGAATTTTAGAGTTATAAGTTTAGTCATTTACCTCACTATCTTCATTAATTTTTCCTTCCCATTCATATATAGAAGTTACTTGTGGTATCACATTGACGCAGGCAGCCAGCTTATTCTTCACTAAACCATGTCCAATAGTTTTGCCCACATCTACACTTGGTACTGTCACATATGCCACAGAGTATTTATCTGTAATTATTATGAAAATGGTTACTTATGTTTAATTGTAACTTTTTAAATGCAATTTAGAGTTGATTATGTTGGAGACAATGAAAATATCAGTACTTACCTACCTAAATAAATTTTAAAATTATTATCATGGAATATTCTCAACAAAAGGGTTTTGTTATTTATTGATAAACATTAAACACAAGTTAAAATTAATGGTCATAAATGGTGAAGTACCACATTAGACAGAAATAAAATAGTTTTGGAGTAGAATGAAGCAGACAGAAAATAACTTAACAACTTAATAAAATCTAATATATAAGTTCAGCGATAAAGTTGTAGAAATGCCTTGAATGTTTATTGTTGTTGTTAATTCAAGTAAATCGCTACATCTTACCCGCATCTACGATTCCAGAAGACATATTGGCTTGAGCGAGTACCAAGCAAGGTCTTAGAAACGAAAAATATAACGTAATCAATGATTTTTTATTAAGATAAATTAGCATTTTCTTTCCATACGCTATTTCGGTGGATTCCAGGCAGCTCACAGTTTTCAGATTTTCAGATTCAGAGTTTGACATTTGACAGTCCTGACACTTGACATTGACATACAGCACATATTGATGACAGTGAAATTGCTATAATAGAAAAAAGTGTATTATTGCCAAATTATTGCATTTAATTTTGCTTCTTTAAAATAGCTTTTCAACCTAACATTCTATGTTCATTTAATGTAATTTATTCGATTTATTTCAAGGTTTTTAACAGTTGTTTAAGAATTTTTAATAAATAAAGCTTTTAAACCGAATCGTACCTAATGAATATGGATGTAATTTACTCGTACAAGTAACATACTTTCAAACGTAGTGTACGAAATTATTAAAATGATATTTCGTGAATGGATTAATTTTTTATTAACTAATTTGAAAAAATATGAAATTAATTACTGGCAACCATTAATTGACCTCATCGTTCGAAAAAAAAAATAAAGCTTTTGTCTAATATTGTCTATCGTTTCTTTTTGGCGGGCGTCATGAAAAGAAAAATGTATTTTTTATTAGATTTGCAAATTGATTTTATTGGAAAAAAAGAATTGAAATATAAGTTTTGTGGAAAATTCCTTTTAAGTAAGTACCCTTTTATAACAATCATACCTACATAAACATAATTCTTACTTAGTTTGATTGATTCATTGGTTTTGTTTGATATTTGGCTTAATTAAGCCACAATGTTATATGAGACAGTCATTTGTTTTTCTTGAGTTAACCTACTTAACTAGCTTTTTTGTGAATAATAACAAACTAAACCCTACTCATTATTTTAATACAACGCCACCTAGACACTATAATTAATTTATTTCCTTCAGTTGCCCGTGAGAAAAAAAATGTAACAAGAAAATGTTTTATAAGTGGACGTCATATCGGAGTTTGGAAGTTGTTTTTCAATAAACGGAGTGCGGAGCTGCAGCATTGGTGTTCTAGATACTCAAGTAAGTCACTTTCTAATGTCTTAACTTCGTAATATTAACATCATGTGGGATAAAAAGCATGTGTTCTTCCAGATTTCTAGACCATAATCTTCCTATCCCTATTCCAAAATTCATCTCTATCCGTTCATGCGCTTCATGTAGTACCTAGTATTTTTTTTTTACGGGGGAAAATCATCGAATGGCTGCTCCCTGCCCGCCTGGGTGAGGCGGAAGGGAGTGTCAGACTCTTACTGACTAAAAACCACACCGTTCCTTCTCCTGCACGTCGAGCCGGAGCCCCGGTTACCCGTTAGGTTCTCCGAGTATAACGACTGTTAGAATCGACGAGTTTACCTATACATGTTTGATACGTAGGTAGGTACCATTAATATAACACGACTGGACGACACCTCTTAATTTCTGAATTGGAAGGCAGACGTGTGCTAAACACACATTACTACACTACAGACTACCTACATTAAATTAAGGCAGTTCAAAACTGCCTTAATTAATTACTTACGGGTAGTATTTAAACGAATATCAAAAAATATCCTTTTTCTTTGCAATAAGATTCCGAATTCCCAACAAAATTACTGATTGCACAGCAAAATATTTAACTCAAAATATTACTAAACACACTACAATTTATTTTCGCAGCGTACAACGATTTTGCCTAAAGCAAAAGCTTTCATTAATGCACAGCTAATAATCTTAATGCACATTCTTTTAAATATAGCTTCTATTTTTCAATTATTTACAACAGTTTTTCTAAATAAAGCAGCATTTTAAATTCACTTATTTTATTTAAACTAATATTTTTAATATAAACGGCTAAATGGTATGAAAAGATTTGAAAAGCAGTTAGTGATATAACGCTCGGCGGCCGCTACCGCGGCACCGCTCGCTACGCTCGCTCGCCTCGCGCCTTGTGAGGGTCGCAGTTCTAACCTAACCTAACCAAATGTTTCAGGGTGCCCAAAATTGCTGTGCTTTCAGTATTTATGCTATGTATGTAGTATTTTTGTACAAAAACAAATATAACCGTATTGCATTATAAGGAAAAAAGGATTGTCGTATTGATGTATAATTTCGAATTATCTGCAGTTTGAGTTTTGTAGAACATTTCATTTGTTTGTAATGAAGTAAGTTATTTGATGTAAAAAAGAATATAAATGATGAGTATGTATTGATAGGCGATTATTTATTTGATATGCAATTTATAATATCCCATTACTTACACACATTTTTAGTCAAATAAGCACTTTTTTTTTTTTTTTTTTTTTAATTTATTTACAGGGTTTTTTCTTAATAGAAAACATCACAGCACTTATAAAATACTTTCTACCACCGCGACCAACGTGGTAGATTACTAATTTTCTTTTTGATGTACGTCTGGTAGATTATTTTAAAACATCAGACATATTTTTTTTTCTTTCGACGAATTATATTGATTTGATATGTCGCGAGATGTCACTTTTGGGTACGTTTTATACTAAAAAATTACGTAGCTAGCTCCCAATCCTAAACTTTGGATCGTTTTGTCTAAGTATTGTTTTCTTTATACGATAAAATAAATACGTGTCTAATATGTTTTAGTAGCTAATTAACGGACTAATTACAGTTTTAATTTTCATACCTTGTCATCATCCCTATTGCATAGCATAGGTGTCAACAGGCCCTATGCCAACTATGAAATCAAATATAATTCATGAAAAAATATCTGTCCGTGTCCCGGTTTATGAACACGTTGAAAGTTTATATTTTTATTAATTGCCATTATAAATAAAATATTTCAAGTACCCATTTCATTTAAGACATAATGTGTTTTCATCGCTAGTGGTGATATGAAACAAGATATTTGTGCTATTTATTTTAGGTATGTATAGATATGATTTTTTTTAAGGGGGGAAAATCATCTAATGACTGCTCCCGCCTGGGTGATGGCGGGAGGGAGTGTCAGAGCCAGACTTTTACTGACTAAAAACCACCCCGTTCCTTCTCCCGGGTAACCCGTTAGGTTCTCGGCGACGTATAGATATGATAAAATATCTACTGAGCTTAAACTACGCATATCGCACACAATTTTTTATTAATTCAGTTAATTTTACATTTATACAACGTTGGCAACGCATGCACAACAACTGGGTACTTGCAGTTGAGTCTGCGATATGTCACCATTGCGGAGTAGTACTTGCAGTGTACGGTACACGAACTTTTGTTGACAACTTGTTTCATATCCGGTTTGGGTGAATATTACATTAGAACACGGTGCAGAGGGGGGACTGAAACAAAAAACCGTTGATTAAAATATTGTCAAACACTTTTTTTCAAGTCTTGTTGTGTACCTACGTTTAGGAATTCTTGTAAAAACTGAAATTAAGTGTTTTTTTTTTAATTTATTACTTTTTACCGAACGGAAAAGAAGAGGGGAAATTATTAAAAAATCATAACCCTCCTTTGAGTTTTGCCGCAGTCGGGTAACTTACTCGCAAACTTCAACTACTAAAGCTTGTAAAGGATTTTCCTCTTGATTTAGCACAGCATGCCATTTTCCATCGGTACCAACTGCTGCTTTGGGATACACCACCTGTAAAATATAACATTAACGATCAAAAAATTCGCATATGTCACGCGAAGGGCTCTGATACTCCGATGTTATATTTAAGTGTAAAGTTCTAAATCTACAATAAAGGCTAGACCTTTCATAGAGATGACAGTAGGTAGACATTAATTAAACACGGGGACCTGCGGACGGCGAGCATTGGTGACTCACCGTTCGGCCAGAACCAGACCCGAGCGTACGGCTCGTTGCGTTTCGCGCGCACCTCAAAGAACCATCAGACCACCACGGATGGGGCCCAACAGGGCTGATGCCGATTCGGAGTCGCGGAGAACCTAACGGATTATCGGGGCTCCGGCTCGACGTGCAGGAGAAGGAACGGGGTGGTTTTTAGTCAGTAAGAGTCTGACACGTGGCGGGAGGGACCCCGCCTCACCCAGGCGGGAAAATGATTCTGTAGTTTTTATAGAAACTGATTTAACTGATGTATAAAATGTACAACTGCGGTGTGTATATATAAAATTTGGTATGATTATAATCTAACCTCTGGACACAACACTGAGTACTTTTTATCCCGAAAAAGTATATACACCAAAAAACAAACTTAATGGCACGGCTTAATCTCTAGAAACACTAGTTATAGTATCAAATACAAATATAAGACTTTACGCTGTAACTGTAGGGCAACAAACTCGGTGGAAGCCGCTGGCAGAAGCTAGTATTTTTTTATATTTTCAATTTACAGAATTTTCACTTTCATCATCATCATCATCATATCAGCCACAGGACGTCCACTGCTGAACATAGGCCTCCCCCAATGACTTTTCACTTTACAGTTTTAATATATGTATTCATATAGATTAGTTGGCCACTTAGTTGATAACTACATGACATGTACTGAACGACCAGGATGATAAAAAGACAAAAGTCGACCTTTGTTATCTGGGCATTAAAAAGTTGCATCGTTGCTTTTGGACTCCGGTGTACTAAATCAGTACATCTAAAGACTTACCCGTTTGTCAGACTTGCAGAGTTCGATATTTTCTTCATGAGCTCCAGCTCTTTGTGCGATGTCAGGTAATGATGGAATGTCCAGTTTATCTTGTTGTAATGCACCAGTATTAGTCAGCTGTAAAATTTTAAAATAATCATTTAATTTGGTGTTATAAGTAAAATAATGTTCTTACTTTAAACGCACCCTCAAATAATATTAATTAAGTGATTAAATGTTTCTTTTGGCATATATTGCACAAGAAATCTTCAGTAGGCATTTATAATAATCACCTATCTACCTATGTAGCTTTCTTGACCAACTATAGATACCCAGAACTCCATATAGGTAATACTAAGGAATATAGGAAGTTGTAAGAAAACGAATAACTATTACCGGATAGTTGAGAATCCTTCTTTGAATGGTATTTTGGTAATAAGTATACATGATTTTCATAAACCATAAAAATAGCCTATAAGTACCTGTGATATAGCCTTGTCTGCTAGTTCTTGTGGGTAGTTAGGAACATCTTCACAAATACCAATTTTTTTGCAATGTTCTGGTATTTCTAGCTCAAAGTCTTCAGATGTAGGGTCTGGAAATATAATTTCGTTGAAATTATTATTATTTTCACTTTTTTTAAGGATCATTAATATTTTTACTAACATAACTTTCTACAGACCTACGTTTCACTTTCTGTTCTTCAGTACAAATGTCTTTTGAAAATACTTTTACTCTGCTTTAAATGTTTATAGGTGTATCATAGTATTAAAAAAAGTATTCATTGACTGAGATTTACTGATAACTTAATGTGGGAGAGAGAGAGACAGCTAAAACTGGCGGTAATAGGAGCATTTACGTTATCGTAAACCTGAGTGCCTAGTGCAAGTTGGTTTTACGTTGACGCAATCGAGACGTTAACCACCCGATCACAGGGCTAAACACCAGTAACGTTTCAATCATGATAACCGTATAACAAACTATACTAGTCACTAAGATGATTCATAAAGTCATAATAGTTACGTTTGATGGGTGCCTGCTTTTTTGTGTATGTATGAAAAATGAACAAGGGATTGAGAATCGGAGAAGTGAGTTGGGAAACGTAGTTAAGTTGCATTAAAAAAAATTAAATGTGGGAGAGGTATGCTTCGGCACGAAAGGGCCAGCTCGACCGGAATGATATTAAGGCCACACAGAAAACCGACACGAAACAACGCTTGCGTTGTGTTTCGTCGTGTGAGTGAGGTTACCGGACCCCAATCTCCACAATCCCTGAATCCCCAACAACCCTTAAATTCCCAATCCCCAAAAGGCCGGTAACGCACTTGTAACGCCTCTGGTGTTCCACGTGTCCATGGACGACGCCGATTGCATACCATCAGGTGTTCCGTATGCTTACCATCGTGATCCGTATGGGAAAAGCCGGCAAACCATTGCCGGCTTTTCCCATAAAAATATATAAAGTATACCGTTCAGATCTGGTATTATATGTGCAATGAAGACCTTTATAATGGACCTATACAATTTTTTATATAAACTATATAAATAAAAAATTACCGAGTTTGGTGACCACGTTGTCCTTAACGTTTTGACCAGCGACGTGAGTCACAATCACGGCTAGTGCGCACAATAGAGTTGCTTGTAGGAACTTCATGGTGTCTTGAAGTGCTATTCGAATTTGTATTATTTCACAACTATTTATATAGAAATATAGCAGAATTAGTTACTGATGGTTAATTTATATCAGTGTGACGATATCATTGTTTAATATTTGAAGGTCGCTTATTAGTCGACTTTCTACACCAAATAAAATGGTAATTAGGTATAAGTAACTAAAATGGATTTATACAGTTTATAACAGTTGAGGTAACCTAATGGTTAAGGTACCTGCTTCTCGAGCTGATGGTGTGGGTTCGCTACCTGACACGTATCAATGTACTTTTTTCAAGTTATAAGTAAGTGCTTCCTAAGTGTATTAAGACAACAGTGGCATACGGTCAAGGAAAACATGGTGAGGAAATATGGATTTAATTAAAGATTATAATATTTTTCTTGAGAGCCTGGTGATTAATACTCATTCCTTCTCCGATTGGAAACAGTGGTACACAGTTACAGGTTGGCGGTGACGTGGTGAAGATGATGAATAGGTTATGAATGTAGGTACTAAATCTGTTCCGTTGGTTGAGTGGTCGATAATTTTCTATATACTTCTCGGAGTACCTAATCAGTAAGGATATGTCGGCCTCACAAAATTAACGTGTAAAAATCTATTTTGTACCCTATTTGCAAAATAAATTCTCTTGTTTCACTTTTTAAAAAGGTACTTATTTACTTACTTGTTTATCCCTACAGTGTGAACAATTTAACAATAACCAACCTTCAATTATAAACAATAACGCGGTTATTATGCTATTCTTATATAAATAGTTGTAAAATATCACAAATTCGTATAACACTCTAGCTAGAGTCTTGAAAGACATCATGAGCTACTTATCTACAAGTCGTTCTCTTGTTCGCATTCGCCATGGTTGTGACTAACGCCGCTAGCATAGTTGAGATTTCATTTAACGTGGACGACGCAGCGGGTCCTGGGTAGGTGGCGTGGACTTACCGGCAGCATTCGCTCTGGCGGGCATTCTTCCGTGGGAGTTGGAGGCGTGGGTGCTCGCCAGAGTGATGTATAGACGGCAGAGCAGAGGGCACGTGGAGAGCGCCCGGTACATGAGATTTGAGAAGTCGTGCGGCAGGAAGTTAAGGCGGCCATTGTCATCCATTGGGTAGACGACCTCGCTGCCGCAGTCTTCGGTAGACGGACGTTGGACATCGTCGGGGCGGTACTTCAGACACTACACTGGCTCGAGCGGCATTTCGGCTGTGCCGGTGATGACAGGCCATGGCTGTTTTGGGCCGTACCTGCACCGTGTCGGGCGGAAGGAGAACCTGTCGTGTCACTGTTGTGGTGCAGTGGCAGAGCGTGTGCGAGAAGAAGACGCGCTCGCTCCACACGCTCACACACTTTCGAAAGTATTTTTCCCAGGGCCCAAAAAAGAGACTGGTTCTGGTGCTTTAATCAATTTAACTGAAACTTTAGCCATGGATATCTTTATGATCATAGGGCTCCATTAATTAATTGGTTATGGTAAAGCAACCGTTTATTTTGATGGGACAGGGCAGTGGGTATAGTCATTTGTCTTACACATCTACCTCTACATATTATCTGGGCTGTATGGAAATTGTCATATGCACATACCTGGTTTTTTTTGTGGATGATAACATAACATATCCACCTACATTTTCTCATACAACACCGCGCTTATAACGACTTTAATCCTACTTCCTACTTATATTGTAAATGCGAAAGTTTGTGAGAATGTTTACGTATGTGTCTTGTTGTTACCCTTTAAACAACCATCAGAATTATTCAATTCAAACAGAATTCAGTAGTCAAAGTCAAAATCATTTATTTCAATTAGATCAAAAGGCACTTTCAATTTGCTCATTCCAAGGTGTTGATTCCTATCGAGAAGAATGATCAAGAAACTCAATAGATTTATTTGTTTATTTATTTATAGTTTATTGCACACACAGAAAAAAAAGTTGTAAACATTGCAATAGTAATTTCAGTATAATGGGCGGTCTTATCACACGCGGCGATTTCTGCCAGACAATCTTTGGATGGAATTAGATTACTTTTTTTCAATTATTCAAATTCTTTATTGCGTTCCACAATGTTTTACTTAGGTGGTAACATCTTATACTTATCTTATACTATTATATAAAGCGGAAGAGTTTGTTTTTTGTTTGTTTGAACGCGCTAATCTCCGTAACTACAAGTCTGATTTGAATAATTCTTTTTGTGTTGGATAACGCATTTATTGAGGATGGCTATAGGCTATAAAACATCGCGCTGCGACCAATACGAGCTGAGCAGAGCGTGTGAAACCACGCGGAAGTAGTAGAATAATAAAGATCCTTGTGGACCCTGTCGGGCACTATAATTAGGTTCACAATACAACCCTTTAGTTATATAGTTTTGTTGTTAGTTCCGTTTGTTAGTTCCACATTCAAATAAACCAACAAACCCTTCAGTTTTATAATATATTAGTATGGACTAGTACCTATGGATACTGCTCGCCTCGCCCACTTAATGAAAAGTGGGTGGTACCTATATCACCTACTTATCTAGGGTAAAACCGGGATGGATGCCTCAGTAGAATAGATGCCCCATTTCTTAAAAACCTAACTTCCTAAGCTCGCGATTAAGAAACAACCGTATAACTAAAAACCGCAAGCACCCCGCACCTAAGTTAGCCACACACCGTCAAGCGGTGAGGATGCGTTTCGTTCGTATATGAATTCATCTCCGCGGCAAAATTACCAAATGCGTAAAAATTTTAAAGGTGAGTATTTGCTGTTGTATAACTTTTTAAGTAGATATTAATTCCGTCATATTTTTTATTACGTCAATATATTGTTTCATGAAGTATACATTTTGATGTAAATAATCGCTTTTTTCTTTTTTATTTATTTAAAAAATACTTGGGCATCTATCCCTGTCAAAAAGGATAGTTGCCCTGATTTTTAACGGGATAGATGCCCCTAGGGGCGTCTATCCCTCCATACACCATGAATATCCTGATTGTATTATAAGTGCTTTGAATATACAAGGTGTAGTTTTGAAGTCGTGTCATTTCTCGGGGGCATGTCACAGAAGTCATATAGGTTCAATGTAAGAGAAAATTTCAGGTCAATAGTTAAAAATACGGCTATATAAATCGTTTAAGTTGGACAATATTTCAGAAAAAGTGGCAGCAATTCTTCTTATTCGAGTTTTATGGAATTAGGAATAATATCAATTACATGTTTGAGTTTGTGTGTGTTAAGCCGCGTTATAAAGCTATTATAATTACGCGCTATATATAATAACGGATTTCCGTAAATTACAGAAAAATGAAAAATATTTACCAACAAATTTTTTTATTGATTCAGACTCAGAATCGATAGCCGAGTTACCTCCTAGAAAATGACGCGGCTTTAAAACAACACCTTGTATATTTTTAATATATTTTTCATGTGTTTATGTATAGGTATTTATACTTTATATTGATTTACTTTTGACTAAGTTTTTGGTCTTTTTACTGATTATAGCAGAACTATGCCACGAAAATACAAAATAAAAGAAGGAGTGCGAGCTCGAGTATGTTCTTGGACTACAGAACAATTGCAGCCAGCTATGAAGAAAATGGACAGAAAAATCATGGGGATAAAAGTTTGCTGGTAAAGAACACTAAAATTGATGGGCAGGATGGGCCTAAAATATAAATAAATTAACTGCATAGAATGCTTTGAAAACTATGAACAAACGAAGTCTAAATCCGACTGGATTCAATGTGTAATGTGTCAGTACTGGTTACATGAAACCTGTACACTTTTCAGAAATAGTTGCTGGAGATGTGGAAAAATTAAAGCACTGTCCGGTTAAATATTATGATGATATTTATTTAGTTATTTTAATTTTTAAGAAAGAATGACTTTTATGATTTTGCTTGTTGAAACTTAATTAAGTATTAATATTTAATAATAAGGATTTAAAATACATATTACTGTTGAACAAATACTTTTAGAATTTAATTGTTATAGTTTTAATTAAAATTTATCTTATTTATCTTATCTATAATGACAATGACAATAAAAAGATTTTAAAAACTGCAAAATACTTTTCATTTCAAATAAAATAAAGCCAAAAAATAGATAAATAATATTAACATAAAATACTTATATAGTATGAAGGGCATCTATCCTGCACCGTAGGCATCTATCCTTGTTAGTATTTTCAAGGTGGGGCAACTATCCATAGGGGTAGGCATCTATCCCCAAAAATGGAGGTCTACAAAAAGCTAAAATCTGCAAAATGGGTAGTTTATAGGTCCAAATAGACCAATCACAGTAAAACATAAAGGATTAAACTAGTTACATTCATAGGTATTATTTATGTAAAACCAATATTTTTTAAATTAGAAGCATATTTCAAAAAGTGGGGCATCTATCCCGGTTTTACCCTACATCTTTTTACACAAATTAGTAGGTATGTCTGATGCTGATGTCACACCGGCTTATGAATAATATTTATCTTATAAAAATATATCAAACTAACGAGGTTTTGAAGCACATTAGGTAAATACTTGTTTATATTGTAGGTACTAAAAATCGATGTACATTAAACATCATTAACAGCCTATAAATGCCCACTGCTAAGCAAAGCCTCTTCTCACACGGTGAAGGTTTGAGCATTAATCACCACGTTTACTTAATGCGGGTTGGCGAATTCACACTTATAATTAGAAATGATAAGCCCACATTTCTTCACGATGTTGTCCTTCACCGTTTGATAGTGGTGTCTGAATAATCTTAGAAAATCTATATAACTCGGCAAAGTCACATTGGTACTTGCCGTTGGTAGGTTTCGAACCCGCATTCTCATGCATAAGAAGCGGGCGTCTTAAACGGTTAAACCTCCTTGCCACCACACCACCGATGTAACAGCATTCAAGTTCTTACACAATACCCATGACTGATGCTGTAGCGTATTGATTATACTCACGTTCTTATTAATAGCCAATAAACATTATAATTAAGTCAAAATACACACCTTAATCTAGGTATCATATAAGCGAGTACCTAACTTATATCATATTGTAGGTAAGTAGATACGTATCATCACAATAGGAAAGATATCAATAAATTATTACGATCTTAATTACACCATGACGTTATATCTGTAATTATTTCATCTATAGGTAAGTAATAAAATTAAGTAGGTATGTTTAACTGTCAGCGTTAAGTCGAGGTAAATAAATGTGAAGGTCACATCCACTTTATGTTTACGTTCAAGGAACATTAAAACAAGTTTATATTGGTATTCATTTATTATTTTTTAATCTAGACAACGTTTATTCTTAGAAATGACTATTTTGTAGGTATATTTTAAAATATACTTGTCTACTGAATCCCAATACAGGTAGCTAAGTTGTTTTATGTGTAAAAACAAACAACAGTCCACATATCTTTTGAATAAAAAACATATATTGTATAAAATTCCAGAAATTATGAAAGTGTAATAAATTTATAAGTAAATAAAATATAATTAATTCATTTATTGACAAATCTCAAGTCCTTAAATTACTGGGCAACCATTACTGGTTTTATAAAATATTTTCCTATTTAATGAGTCATTACTAATGACTAATTAATAGCCTCATAGCTAAAATTTAGTCTCAGAACACCTAATGTTTTATTATTTTCTAAATCCAATATTTTGAGACTGCAATAGGGTAGATGACTCATTTTTATTTTTAACATTAGACACGTATATTTTATTTTCTTACAGAAACAAATACGTCTATACGTGGACGGACGTTTTATACGTGGAAATGAAGTGTTAGCTCCCATTCCTACACTTTGATTCTGTTTATCTAAGTATTGTAACCTTATACGACAAAACAAAAAAATACGTGTCTAATATTTTTCATTATGTAACTGATGCACTAATTAGATGTTTACAGTTCATACCCCGTCATCATCCCTATTATTGTATAAAGAAAACCGGGATTGCTTAAGTGTTCTAAGGTTTACTTACAATATAAATTACCTGTACCTATAGACATCTAGTCAAATAAGGCACAAATTATCATAGCATAGGTATCAACAGATCCTATGCCAACTATGAAATCAAATATATGTTCTTGAAATAATGTCAGTCCCGGTTTATATGCGCGTTGAAAGATTCAACATAATTATATTACTTTTAATAAATGATATCTATTATAAATATGGTTTCTTGACATCACTATTAAAACTAACATTTTGAACAGTAAAGCTAGAACAACCTGAGTTTCATTAAAGAGAAATAAAATGTACAAAATAGGTAAGGGTTGTTTAGTTCATAATCGACTAGGGATTATAATATAATAATTAGTTTGTCATAATTAGATATACTGACATTTAGGTGGTAGTGAAAGTAATGTAACTGGCTAAGTACCTAATAGGTATGCCATTTATTTTAATTTGTAAATTTCTCCTAATATGTTAGGATAGTACCTAAAATATCTGCTAAGCTCATCAATTCTCATTATCAGTAATATAAATTACTCGTGTCGTACACAATCTTAATAATTAATTTAATTTTACACTAATACAACATGGGCAACACATGCACAACAACTGGGTACGTTTAGTGACATATCCGAAGTGGTACCATTGCGGTGTAGCACAGCCATTTTACGGTACACGTACTTTTGTTTACAACTGGTTTCGTATCCGCGTTGGGTGAATATTATATTAGAACACGATTTAGAGTTGGTACTGAAACAAAGGAAAGTTTATTAAAAATAATACTAAGCAAATATTTTGAAATTCCTGTAAAAACTGTAATTAAGTGATTTTGCTGCACAGGAAATAAGTTAGTCTTAAAAGTAACCTCGGTAGGTACTGTAAAGAAAAGACAATATGAAAGGAAATTATTTAAATTATACTATGAATGATACTTACTCGCAAATCTCAACTTTGAAACCTTGTATAGGGTTTTCCTCTTTATTTAGCACAAAATGCCAAGTTCCATCGGCATCACGTGCTGCTTTGGGGTACATCACCTGTAAAATGTGAAGATCAACGTTTAAAAATTTCATATAGCTTAGATAGTCCGATCATATAATTATTTAAGTGTAGGGTTCTATATTTTCAATAAAGGTCTAACATTTTTTATCTAGGTAATTGAGACGACTTCAATGTTAAGGTTTTTCAAAGTTTTAAAGGACTGATTCTATAGGTTTCATAGAATTTGATAACTAATATTAAATATTAAGTTATAAAATAAATTAAGTTATTAAATACCTGACAGGTAAGGAAATAAAGATTGATTTAGCACAGAGATAATAAAACCAGTAATATTTTTATCATCATTGAATTAACCAGTGAATATGGCAGATATGGCTTCATTGAAGCCTATCTAGCCTTCATTTACTATAACCATAGCTAGATAACGTCTCTGTACTGAATCAATAATAAATTATGCACCGAATAGTTTGGATTACTGTACATGTACTGAACGACCACGATGATAGTAAGGTAAAAAAAGTCAACCTTTATTCTTTGGGCCCATTAAAAAGTCCATGAGTGCTTAAGGACACAGGTACCTAAACACTAAACTGACTACACATCTAAAGACTTACCTGTTCTTGAAATTTGCAGAGTTCGAGAGTTTCTTCATGAGACCCAACTCTTTGTGCGATGTCAGGTAATGCTGGAATGTCCAGTTTATCTTGTTGCAACGCACTAATATCGGTCAGCTGTAAAAATGCAAAATCATGATTTAATTTGGTGTTAACAGGTGTTGTTTCATGATATGTTTTTTATACACACGTTTTATAAATAATAAGTGTTAAACATTATTATATAAAGACAAAGTTTTGGTATCTGCGGTAAGCTGCCAACAAGGTGACCCTCTTGGTCCAGTCATTTTCAGTCTAGCCATTCACCCTATTATGCGGCAACTTAAATCTATATTTAATGCTTGGTATTTAAACGATGGAGCCCTAGGAGGTGCCACTTATACCGTTTTTATTTCTAAATTTAACTCCATCGGATTAGAATTAAATATTTCTAAATGCGAAATTTACCTTCCGGACGAAATTACTGATGGACAACGAATTTTAAACAGTTTTTCTACCATAGCGCCGCATTTAAAAAAACATAACATAACACACATTTATCCCCGAAGGGGTAGGCAGAGGTGCACATTATGCCACTGTACAATGTAACACCCACTTTTCACTATTTATGTTATGAGTCCCATTGCAATTAAAAATTGTTGATAAAAACTCTCTTCTTCTTCTCGGTTCCCCAATTTTCGAAAACAGTTTCTCTGATTTCATAAACGAGAAAATTAAAAATTTCTGTGACATTTCCGATAGACTTTCCAAAATTAATCTACATTGTGCTTTTATGTGTTTTTTGCGTGCTTTCCCTTTGTGGAAGCATCTGCACATTCTGGACCAAGTTGATCAAATTATTCGTGACACCTTAACTTCACTTTTGAATGCATCTATAGACGATCGTGTTTGGCTTCAAGCCACGCTTCCATCATCATAATCTCATTAAAACGAGCACAAATCCTGCGGAGTTAGTTCGCCTATTGGCTGTGGGTGAGTGGGAATCAGGCCTCTGACTTCAGACACTTCCGACACTGAATATTGGGACGATATTGAATGACTCAACAATTCAGCTTGCTGCTTGCTTGCGTTTAGGTGCACCCTGTGTTACCCCACATCGCTGTCAATGCGGTAAGATGGTCGACCACTTCAGTCACCAAGGCCTAATCGTGCAGCAGAAGCGCGGGTTGGATGGCCCGACACGCCAGTATTAACGGCATTATCCGTCGATCTCTTATCATCGCCGGTGCGCGAAGCCGCCGCTGTTTTGGAACCAAAGGGGTTGGCGCGCGACGATGATAAGAGACCTGACGGTATGAGCATTATGCTCTGGAAGTTGGAAAGGTCTGTGGTGTGGGACGCAACCTGCGTCGACCTATAAGCACCTATTTACTAACCTCTGTCTACCTATGTATAGCTTTCTTTACTAACTAGATATCTATAACTTCAGATAAACAACATTACTACTAGGAAATCGTTTGGTGAAATGAATAACTATTGCCGGATAGTTTAATATCCCTTTTTTACTTGTAAACTGTTTTCGTAAACCATAAAAATAGCATATTATGTACCTGTGATATAGCCTTGTCTGCTAGCTCGTGCGGATAGTTGGGAATATCTTGACAAATACCAATTTTTCTGCAATGTTCTGGTATTTCTAGCTTGAGCTCTTCAGATGTAGATGTAGGCCCGGGAAATACAATTTTGAAATTGTCATTGTTTGGACCTGGAAACACGAATAGACATTGTAAGATATTTATTAAAATATATGTACGTTTTTACTTGACTTGAATGCGTCATTGGCCGAGTGGTCGCAAGTTCGACTGCGCGGCAAGGGGTCTTGGGTTCGATTCCCGGGTCGGGCAAATTATTACTGGGTTTTTATTTTATTAAAAATCTCAGTAGTAGCATAGAGTCTGGAAATGTGCCCTGTATATTATATGGCAATGGCTCACCCCTTATTACATAGAGTCCTACTCATGCATGACATACATAGAAAAAAGTAGGTGTTACATTGTGCAGTAGCATTTAGTACCGTAATGTGTACCTTTGCCTATCCCTTCGGGAATAAAAGGCGTAATGTTATGTATGTACGTTTTTACTTCTGTTTTGTTTGTGCCTTATTATGATTTAAGGTAACATTATTGTAAAAATCGTTTGACTAAAAATAGTCATGGTACGTCTTGTTTACTAGGAGTGGATTATGTACTTAGGTATCTTTGTAACGTAACGTTACAAACTATGTCAAGAAAAAGTGTACGGAATGATTATCTCAATGTAATCAAAGCAAAGAAAAAAAACAATTATACATCCGTGTTACAATAGTAGTTTTTATGAAGCACAAGTACAATTATTTAACCTTAAAACCAGAGACAATGTAGTCATAAGGCAATTTGCCAGCATAATATCGTTTTTGTATATTCAAATTGATGACTGTAGTTTTTTGGCTGTCCAAGTTATATAGTATATAGGTAAGGTACTTAGTTCCCGGATTTTAAGTGTACACGTGTGTAAAACATTTATTTATATTAATTTACAAAAAGGAACAAAGTACCTACCAAAATTTCATTGTTTAATTATTCCAAAAAATTGTAATTGTGGCTAAATGTGGTTTCGTATTTCATTTCTGCCTAGGTAAGTATCTACCTATATGTTATATTTACATGGATCACACTTAAGCTGAAACATAAATATCCCTCAGACAAGGAAAATTGCTACCAAATAATAAATCATCTGAATAACAATATTTTCATTACTTTGTCCCACATTATGTAACTTCAAGAACATTGTCTCTGTTTCACCATCAGGTGATCCGTTTGCTCGTAAGCCTATCCCATAAAAATAAATATAATTAACGCAATTGTCTGTTTCATGTCTTACAAAAATATTTTCTCTACATTTGATCAATTGACAAAAAAAATTTTCCGAATAAAATTTTATTTTAGATCTAGCACATATTAGCACTACTTACTAAAACAATGCTAAGATAGAAATTAGGATTTCTATATACTATAATTTTGTAGGGAGTACTGTGTCGACCACATTCTTTTATAGCATAAGTTTGTTTTTTATATGTGAAGACTTGTCATTGGCTGTCAGACTCTCACACAATGTCATAATTTTTGTTTTGTTAGCTGTTAGTCTTCCAAAGTTGTTAAATAAATAAATAAATAAAATAAATAAATAAAACTCTAGTTAGTGAAGGTAAGATGAAAAAAACTATTAAATGACCGCCACCATTTGCATATGATACGTCTAGAATCGGTCACCCTGTACATTGAAACTTTGGCACTGCAGTTTTGTAGAAGTGAACTAGTTTTTAACCATATTAGAAGAAAAAGCGTGTTTGAATTAAATTCACGCCATTGAATCATTGTAACACTTGTAGATAAGCCCGTAGTTTGACCATATACAGTGCGTAAATAAAAGGAGGAAATTACCTACTTGCAATGACGCGAGTGCTAAAATAATAATCTTTGTACCTACCTACCTACTGCAAGCGATGTAAATGGCCGACCTTGTATGATGCAGTTAGATTGAAATTATGTCTACTGAAAGGTTAACTTCGGTTCTATGGTAAGTTACACCAGGTTCTATACTTATGTACCTTCCCCATATCTTGTGTACAACAATGATAGTTTACCTCGTTTACTTGTTAATGGCTTCCAAGTCAATATTTTAGACTCACTTTCTGATCGTCGTGTCTGCGTTGCATCTCCTATTCTAGCTTGAGCAAAAGTTTTTGCATCGTCGGCTTGGTTTGGTGGGTGATTGGCAGACATCGGAGATATTCGTGAACTCACTCCTACAGAGGCACGATTGTCTGGAATCCCTAGAGGCTCCTGGTTGGTATAGTCGTATTGATGGCGTGTGTCGCTGTCTGAGTTCGTGTGCTTGCATTTGAATGCAGAAGTGGTCATCTGAAATTTCAAAACAAAAATTGCTTTTATAAATGTTTTATTTTGTTGATACTACACACTTTACCTATTTCTTTGGAACAGAAGAAACCTAAAAATTATAAATCCTTTTCTATATACTACATTTTTAAAGATAATGATGTAAAAGTAATAATAATTCGTTAAATCTATCTTACTTATACTATAATATGCTAAATTAAAAGTTTATCTGTGGTCATTCTTTGTTTGCAATGTGCAACGCAGATCAAATTCGAAGAATTTACTGAAGGTTGACTTCGACAGCGGCTTATTATGAACCTAGTGGTAAATGAAAGCAGGTAAACGTTCAGATAAATATGTTCCTTGATATTGATTAATAAAAATATTATTCATAAATAAATAACAATTGTGCCCGGTATATGGCTACAGGCTCACTCCCTATTACATGGGACTCGTGATGAATATGAACAGATTAATTTTGCTGTAGAAACTTTTTTAATGGTAAAAGGATTAATCAATATTAGATATCTTTTAATTTAATTGACAGTGTAGGTACAATGATGCCGGGAATAATTAATTTGAAACAATAATATTAAAAACAACTGTTTATTTTATATTAATATTTGTACCATGAACTCTGTAATCTAAATAAAGTATATACATAATTAATTATTTAAATTTTATCTGAAAGAGTATTCACCTACTTTCCATTACATATTGTATTATAATGTGAAACAGTAACGATCAAACGAAATATATATACATTATGTTTTAACAAACTAATAATTTAAACGCGTATTTATGCACACTTTTTAATATTAGATTAGGTATGGCAAATGGGTTCTACCCACGCCTACCTTATTTGCCGAAATCTTAGCCTTGAGTCAATGCTGGTTGTGTGTACATAATTCTTTATTTACTTTTTATACAACCACACATAGTCATTTCATCTACAAATTATCACAATGTTTCCTAGAATTATTTCCGGTCTTTATTTTGCTAGCCACAACAGTCTCTATTATTTGACAAAACACTATCAATTGATTTATCAGATCGTGGCCTCGGTTAGGCTGCTGTAAATGTAATTGTAAATACATTGTACCATATTATAAGTACAGTGTAGTGATTCTGTTTGATTTTACATACATATATTATTTTTATCGTTACGGTCATTGGACTCATATAGGTAGAATTGTTATGGGTGTTGTTATGGTTAATTGAAATTCTTTAAAAATAAGGATATTTTAAAAGGATTTTCACGATAAAACTATAGATGTAGACTTTGTGGTTAGTTAATCACACAAGATGAAGTCTGATTAATGGTACGTTGCTGCGTTGGGTGCACATAATGACGGGTTGTCTCTTGTTATTTGTGTCGCTAAGAGATGAGTAATCCAACTAATTATAATATTAGAAACTGATTGTATAGCCTGTAGCAGCGAAATAACATTAAGTGTATGGTTTTTCTATACAATTTGGGTTTTCCAATTTATATTTAATGTATTTTCAAAACACCATGAAAAAATAATAAGCAGTGTTTAGTTATCATAATAGGTGTCTACATTTTTGTGCTAACACGTGTTCTACTATTTTCAAGTTCATTATTCTGGTATGACGTCAAATGTCATCAAATACAGACAGATAGATAAGTAGGTAAGTATTGATTGAGTGAGTGGTGTTTTAAAAGCATTAATGGCTAGTGGCTATTGCCGGCTTTTCTAGGGAGGTATTCCTTGAGTTAATGATATTCCATAAACATTGTATCGATTCGAAAACAGCAAAAAATGCGTATCAGAAACATACATTTTGAATATTAATTGTTATTCAGATAGATTTTTGTATTTGGTGGTTTAATACTGAAGTTGAATTGGAAAATAACTTCAAGAAATAATGTGAAAGTAGTTAGAAAATCAATTCAGTAAAATAGGTAGATACGTGTAGGCAATAATGACTAACACAATACTTATGTATGCAAACGACGTATCTATCCAAAATTATTATGCTGCTAAGTCAACTGTTCTCGATTGCACCTAAGTATTAATACATGTATTACCTAATATTAATAAAAATCTATATTCTATTTTATGATTATTATAGGTAATAGAAAACATAGATGTTTTAATTCTAACAAAATATTTGGCAATGTATTTTATCTGTACGATTTTCGATTGTTTATATGATTCATGATTATTTTTAAACAAGTAGTTACAATAAATTCAGTAACTACTTGAAAAACCATGATTACCGTTACCTAGTCTTTCTGTAGCTACTAAGTCACTTGAAAAAATGTATTCACATCACACTAAAGAACTTACCAATCTAATTGAAAAACATAGGTTCTGAACATTGAACGCCCGCTAGACTATAAATATTTACAATGACTAATTAAACAAAATTGTCCATTCATTGACTTCTGACTAAATAGGTACATGGTAACGGAGAAGGCGAACAGATCACTAATTACGTTGCATGAAGTGCTATTTCTAAGTAAGTAACATGTTTGGTTGCTTTTGGAATTTTCATAACGTTGTGTAAGTTAAGCACTTAACTACCGAATTATTTTAACTATTATTTTTTATTTTAACTATATAGTCTGTTTAGTGGTTATTTTGGGTGTAACTAATTGGTTTCTAAAATAATACTATTCCATTTGTTTTAATGTTAATTGGAACTTAGTAGTATATTTTCGTAATAGACGCAGCGTATTGGTATTGGCATGCAATTAAAACATAAATTTAAATTACTTAAGAAATTAAATGTTATAATCTATCCAACATCTTTCAGAATAAATATGTTTTTTTATGGCATAAGCCGGTAAACGAGCAGACGGATCACCTGATGGTACGCAATCGGCGTCGCCCATGGACACCTGGAACACCAGAAACGTTACAAGTGCTTTACCGGCCTTTTAGGGATTAGGAGTTTGAGGACACAATCCTCGGGGCTTCGGGGATTGGAGAGATTGGGGAAGGGGGGAGGGTAACTAACCTCACTCACACGACGAAACACAACGCAAGCGTTGCTTCACGACGGTTTTCTGTGAGGCCGTGGTATCACTTTGGTCGAGCCAGCCCATTCGTGCCGAAGCATAGCTCTCCCACATTTAAAAGTGCGTTCAGGGTCCACACATTCCATTATTCGGTTGTCAAACGCTGTTCGTTTACTGAGTTTAAAAAACTATACAAAATGTTGATAATTCTTGGGGAATTTCCCACTGTCTTGACTTAAGTTAGACACATGTCATGGTCTTCACGAGCTAAGAAGAAGTCCTAGCCTTTCGCGTTTTTTTTTCTCTTTAAACGTTGGGTCACTGAATAACAAAATCTGTTTTCACTGATCAAGCATTACAGTTTTTCCTATAGACAATTAGTCGAATAAATATTTGGTGTTCCAGTATCTTCAAAAACCTTATTAAATGTAAATGAGATGTTAGAAATATCGCGAAGAGGGTAAACACTGACGTACAGATTGGTATTACCTATTATTGCTTTGTTTTTTTTTTCTAAATACATATTAGGCTGGCTTGTTGTAGTGGCGACCAAAACAGTTCCCAGAATTGAATACACAGAACTTAGTTAATTTTCTTAAAAAATTAAGTGGGTTAGTCAATGAGGTGCCATTTACTTTCTTAATATGTATTGTACTTTTTTAATGCCTTGACTTGCATTTATTTTCTACAAAAGTAATTAACTAGTTAGATATACCTATTGCTAAATAAAATTCTGCCACGTATCTAAATAGCAGATCATTGTAAAATCGGACATGTAAAAATTAAATAGTCTGCCAACAAACAATTGAGATAAATATTTTTTATGACAAATGACATATGCACGTTTGACCAATAATTCTTATTTTTTTTAATAATTATGTCTCTATACCTACCTAGGTACCCGTATAATACCAGCAACTTTCGTTGCATATACGGACCACGTTGACAGTTAGTCACCAATTAATACCTACCTACTTACATTCTTGAGTAAATTTTGTAAAGAACTAGCAATGGGGATAAATGAGAACCACAACTTGACGTCATCAGGATTTTACTAAATGAATAATATATGTATTCACACAATAATAATGAATACGTAACTATGTGATACATTACTATTGACCACATAAGTATAATACCATATATTTGCTTCGTTTTTCATTAGGTAGATACCTACCTATTTAGTTTATTTATAAAGTGCAAATAATATGTTTAAGTACCTAAATGATATTTAAAACTGTCCTATTACGAATAAAAACACCAAAACCGTTAAATGTGCATTAGGTAGTAACACGGTTTTGATGACGTGATTATTTTATGGTATATTTGAAACACGCGTGCACATGTACGTACCGACATAATATTACATAAATGGTTATTTACTATTACTATACCTAGGTATTTATGACAGAAAAAAAGGGGAAACCCAAATGTTTATGCCTATGTATATGCCTTAATTAGGAAAAATGGATTGAATTTTATATGTCTAGTTATATAAAAACATTTCTATATTATTGGTAGGCTATATTATTATCAGCTTATGCTGATGAAGGAAAAATACAAATAATATTTTTATCCTGCACTGAAGATTTAAGGATACTTATATCACAATAAAATACAAGTACAAGGTACATATAAAGGAATAATTTAATAACAGTGCTTCTAAATGGGCAAAATACGAACAAATTGTGGCTGCATTACACTATTCCCAACTGATTGTCCAGCCATATCGATTTAGCATATACCATTAATAACTGGCTTTTTCAAAAGAGTATTGGTGAATGGCCGATATATAAAAAAATAAAAGATGATGTATGATCCACAACACTGTTTGCAACGTTATCGGCCATTGTGTTGCTGACGTACCTATTGCAGTGTTTAGAAACACTTTCAAATATTATCCCACGTTAAATTGTAATTTTAAAAGCCCGGTATTAGTGAATACCTGGTTTATATTTTTTGTACAGATATTGGTATGCCGTGTTAATTATGTCTAGGTATGTTTAAGTATAAGGAATAGTAAATATTGACAAACTTAACGTTTGGCACACCCACTTGTAAGTATACTAAATTCTTCAATAGGTACATTAATGTTTTCTAAAATCTTAATCTACCATTTTATACAACATTGACTTAATCTTTTAACAATCGAGACAATATACATTATTTTGAAACTAAGACATGATAAAAATGTTGAGTTACATATTTTTGTAGCACGCCTATCGCCTTGCAATGCCGCGGAGAACCTAACGGGTTAACGGGGCTCCGGCTCGACGTGCAGGAGAAGGAACGGGATGGATTTTAGTCAGTAAGAGTCTGACACTCCCTCACGCCTCACCCAGGCGGGAGCAGAAATTCGATATGTCTATCTATGGGTAGGTAGGTACATAGGGGTACTCAACTGCCCTTTACCCAATACCAATGGCAGTCACTTTATTCTTACAGTTGATTGACTCTCGTAGTTTGCGTAGGAAGTTAACCTCGGGATTTATATTTACGTAATTATGTACATAGATAAAACGAGTTTTAACTTCCTTTATGCTTCCATCTAAATGAGCATTGATGAAACACGTCTATTGTGTATCATAATGGTGATGGATTTTTATTAATTACGATTACTTACGTTCGCTTTTATATCTACCATTGCCTAGGTATTTAATGGCGATATTTACCCTCGATTAACCAAAGTTAAGCAACTTCAGCAAAGCAACAAAATTTCGGTGTGAGTAAAATGTGCTACTAGCCGAAAAACTCGAGAATGACTAGACCAAAAAGCTAATTATTATTTTTATGTTTTGTTTAATATTGTTCGGTCAAGGTCTATATAAATAAAAAATCGGAATTTTGCACTACGATAGTTGAGGGATACGACCTATCTACTATACTTATTTGTGTGAATCTGGAACTAACCCGTAATTAAGATATAATCTGCAGTTAATAGAGAAATTCTCCACAATTTTCTTTATTTGAATTGTATATTCTTGAAGTATAATGTAGTAAATTAAAAACATCTCAGAGGTAAAATAATGATAAAACCCGTTTCTTGATCAACTTATTAATAAGATTGATATTTGTATTCACATTTTATTAATAGGTTTTACCAATTATTAGCTGTATAGCGTGAGTATTTTCCATTGAAGTAAGTTTTTGTAGCTATTTTTAATTTTGAGTAACTTTTTATGTTGGTATGGCCCATGTAAAAAAATGGAAATTTTAGAAATCAACGTTAAATAGCTAGGAATATCCCATCGTAACAGTAACTCTAAATTGATGATGAGGTATTTAGTTTTGTTTTTTGGGTTTTTTTAATCATTATTGCAGTTTAGGTTAAAAAAGTACGGTGTTGAGCCGTGCCTGCCAACAGAACGCAGTCTGTTTGGATTAATTTAATATGCAGATATTACAACTAAATTATTGCTTGACAAAAATAAAGCACGCTATTTACGAAAAATTTAAGAGGAATCAAGAGTTTATCCATTATTTATAAACAGATTTATAGGTATTGTGTTTTAGAACAATGTATCAACAAGCTCTGTTCACACGTAGATAAGGTTAACCTTAACACAATAGTATCAATAGTATACCATTAACACACTACTATCTGCGCTTGAAGGTATGTGTAATAATTTGTTAGGAAAATACGTCAAGTATTTGCATAATAACTGTTTCTATCATAAATGGTGTCGTGCTTGAAATTCTTCTGTTATATAAAACTGCCTTCGATTACGATAACAGATAATATGTCTATTGATGACTTAGTGAACACTTAGAACCGATGTAAATAAATAAAGAAAATAATACAACGTATTTGTAATGTATAGCTACGTATACATTTACAGTAGGTAATTATTTTCATTCCAATTAAGGACTTATTATTTTCTTTCATTTAGGCCAGATCCTATTTCTTTATCATCACTAACCGGAGATGGTCACTGTAGAACGGTTCTTCTTAGTCCTTCACGCGAAATGATAATTCGTTACTTGCATTCAATGATTAAAAAGAGTTATACAAAGGGATTTAGAAGGGATCTATTGTGAAAATGCGTTTTAGTTTTTATTTAATAATGATGAGTTGCTGGTTTGCTTATGCAAACCCATTTTTTTATTGGGAATTGGTCGGCGTTTGGCCACTATCTCACCTGATGGTAAGCGAAGCCGACCCCTGAACAACCTGTCTGGTTTTATATCTATAAACAAATGCGTTTACATATTTACGTCCCGTTTCCATGATAAAATCTCGACTTTAAGTCAAAATAACATTTATGTTATATTCTAATTACATTTAAAAGCGATTGATAATGTGGATTTCATTACAGAGATTGGTTTGCATCATAAATATGTACCTATATTATAGGTAATGTACAAAGCATTTACCATATTACATCTAGATAATTATTTAGACAGACATAGTAGGTACATAGACCATAGTTTTGATATCATTGTCTCGATGACATCTACTGTGTAGACTGGTTTTAAAAGGTATGTTCTTTAGACCGGCATCAAATGTTCGAATATTTAATTATTATGCTTCACTAAACGGAACTGAATATACTTTCCCAATGAAATTCGAAAAGAAACGATTAATTTTGAAATGACCAAAATAACGTACTTATATGAGTGCAAAATAAACCGAACTAATTATAAAAATGTATTGGTACCTACCTAACGCTTTCGCTTTCAAAAATAAAAATGACTGGTCACAGTAAAACATCTTTGTCTACCTACACAGAAGTTAACATATAAAAACAGAATAGTAGACGTATATAAATCTCAAAGAACTCAAAACGAATGCTCGTTATTGTAATTAATTGCACTCGATAATGGTTCGTGTTCGTCATACATATCACGCGTGCGTCCAGTAAAAGTGACTATACTTTTACTTTCATCACATTGCCGTTATTGGAAGTATAAGCGATTCAATCAACAGGAATGAATATGTGTTAAACTAAAATGAGTGGAAATTAACCGGTTGTTTTATTTCTGCATGATTCTGAACAGTAGCGTATAAATACAATAAGTTCCATGGAGATTTTGACATTATTATGTACGTTATATTGTAAATGTATCAATATTTTATCAAAAAATTATGATAATATGTTGTTGAAGTGCCTCCAAATCATTACTAAGAATCTTTTGCCATTGGTGTAGTTTGTGGGTGCATAAAAATTAATGCTAATTTTGCTATTAAAATTTTTATAAGTGCTTTCCACTGAATATTAACCTAGCACCACACAATGTCACAATATTAAATAAGTTTATATGTAATAAATATACTTACAATGGATATCCCAACGAATAAATACAGGGTCCAGGCCATTGTTAAGCACTTGTGGCAGGTACTCAAAACATATTTTAGTAAATCCGGCCTCAACGGATAGTGGTCACTCAATAATTACATATCGAACCGCGACACTATTTATGTATTGATATGACGTAGGCATGCGGTTTAAGCGAAACACCGATATCGATTAATGGCACGTACACCTGTTTTCGCGGACAGATGTCAACTGACGTGAACAGTGAACTGACCGGCCTGGTTCAAGACGTGTTGTCGCGTTCTCACACAACCAGCGTCTTGAGAACTTTCCATTCACTATATGAATACCCCCTTCGATGTATTTTTTATACTATACCAGAGGCGAGGAAGACCTTTATATACTGGTGAAACGTAAGGACATCCTACAGCTCGATTTTAATATTACAGACTACATATGACCTATTCACTGGCTAAATTCAAAGGTTTTTTTACTTATATGACCTATATCTGTATTATTAACTCTGAATTACGAATGTTCAATGAAATTTTAGGAATTTCAGGAATTTTATAATAAATCTATGAGTACCTACGTAAAAGTAGGTCTATGTGACACTATATGGGTTCGTAGGTCAATAATAATGAGGTATTCTGAATCAGTAAAATGTATTAGGGCGATAGTAAGTTATTTAATTTAAATTAAATTCATATAGAATAGCTTAAAAGTATCTATTTATTCTCCGGAACGAATAATAAGTTAATTTGTTTTGTATGGTTATTTTATTTAATTTATGCTCAATACTTCTTAGATTATTTAATAAATATAAATTAGGTACATCAGCTACCTTCGTCGGTTATTCTTGAAATTTTATATTATCAAACTTTATTAGTTTTAATGCGATTGCACGGTTGACGCGTTTGTGTAATCCACTGATTGTTGTTCCGGGTCTAGGTGTCGTGTGTAGGTATGTAAACTTGTATGTTTGTAAACGCACCTACAAAACAGAAAAAAACCCTAGTGTGGGGGGCAACATTTGGAAAAAATACATTTGATGTTGATGATGTTTGATGGCACATATACCAACTAATAGATATCAATTTGCTGGTTACTTCATTGAGATTTATCAACTCAAAATATGCTTGAATTTACAGAGAAGAACATAGTTTACTTACGACAGTAAAATTCAGTAACATATGAATATTATAAATACATAAAATTGGTTTACTTTCAGTTCATTAGCCATGTTATAAAATTTTAATAAAAATAAGTACGCAAATTAAATTTAAAAAATAGTAATAAGCAAGTTTATGCTATTGTACAGTGAGTAGCGATTTTGATGACATCGATATATTACCTATTTATAATTATGTTATGTACAACCCTAAACATAGAGTTTTCCTTTATTAATATTCTTTAATAATATTAAATTCCACTATAAATTTCTTATCAATTATTGTATAATTAACACCATGCTATGCAATGGCAATTTCTAATCAATATAGGTACCTAAAAGGAAAACATTCAATATATTTTTAATCTGATTTAGTCTGAGTACCTATTAATTAAATTATTATTATAAGTTTTAAGTACCTACCTATATCCTTTGTCATTTATTATATAGGTACTATGAAATAAAAAAATACTAAGAGGAATTCGACTGACCCTGTTGTAATTACGTCACAGTAAATTTTATTTGAATAGACACTGAAAATATACTTATACAAAATATATTAAAGACAATGAACCAAGTTCAGATTATTTTATTGTAATATAAAAACTGATGGATTTTCTACGTATTTTGCACGAAATTGCGGCATAGAGCGTCATATGTTTAAAAGTCAATAACATCGGTACTGAGGTATACCTTAAAGTATCTAGACAAAAAATATCAAATTTATTTATTTTTAGAAGTTATTTAAATTATATATAAAAAAAATAAATATGTACTAACTTAGAATAAACTAAAACTAATGAAGAAAATCAAATTAAAAACTACATAATCAAATTAAATGACTACATATGAAGAGCATCAAAAATATAAAATAAATAGTAATTTTTAGTTTTCTTTTATTTCTCTATTTTAAAAATAAGTTGGTACATTTTTGGGTGTAGGTAATGTAAATGTTTAGTGTGAATATATTGAAACGTCAAAATTTTTATCTGTCTGAAGAAATTCATATTATGTAAAATATTTTCTTTCGCTATCTATCGGAAAGTATAGGTTCCAATAAAAAATAAACACGCAGTTTTTTAAGGGTAATTATTGTGAAAATTTTTAGAGAAAATTAGGGTAGGATCTACTTTTTACAAATTTTTGTTTAACTTACAAGGTGTATCATCTATGCATGTAAGTATGTTTGTGAAGTGGAATCTTGCAACTAAGTTTCGAAGCAGACCTTCACCAGATTGAGCTGATGTAGGTGTTATATTGTAGTTAAGTATACTCGTTTAGTTGGCATCACCATAAATGCCCAGCTGTTGATTTTAAGGAATTCAAATGCTGTAAAAGCTTGTCACGAGTTTTAGGTTTACCTAAACACCTACATATGTGTAATTATGTATGGCATAAAATTAAAAATAATACCTACCGTATTTTTCAAACATAAAGCAAAACTTTTTCCTAATTGAATAAAAAACATAAACAATTCGCGGAAATAATTTGTGGTAAAATTAAATTGTAAATCGGTTATAACATTTTGCACTCATTTTTAAGTTATGCTGTAGGAGAATAATCACGAAATTAGTAATTTTTTTTTTTCAATCCGTGAAATGATTTTTTAAGATCCACCACGCAGGGAAATGTGTGTATAGTACCTAATGGTAGAATTAAAAGATGTAATGCAATAGTATTTTTAAGATGTCATTTCATACTACTTTAATTACAGAATATGAGTTCAAATCAATTGAAATATACAATATGTAGGTTAAATGTATTTTCTGTTGGCTGCTTACAGAAAATGCAACGTACTTGCAGAGAAACTACTTGTACGCCTGACACGTATTTATCGTAGCACTTATCAAATCATTAAGTCAATAACGATGCTCGTTACCGTTTATCTTGGAGAAAGTTTTGCAAAGTGGCTTGCGACCAACCAGAGCAAGAACCAGTTCTAAGTTATAATAACTATAAGAATATATCCTTGCACTAAGAGAATTTCTGAAGTTTTATGTAGGTATGCAAGTACCAAATGTAAGTAGTAAAACACACCACGTTTACATATAATATGTATGGGTACATATACTATCCATAAATAAGAGTTATTTTAATTTATTATTCACCTATCTTGTCTGAAAGTGGCACATACTTATCAATCCCTAGTCTTCTCACTATCTCCAGACCAATCATAACATAAAAAGCTTCATGGTACACGCGGCGTAGCGGCGCGGTATGTTGGAGTGTGATCGAACGCCCTGGCTTGAAAGTATGACAATTTTTCTTAAGTACTTAGATATTTATTCATAATAGAGTATAAAAGAATAATTTAATTTACGTAAAATACTGTCCTTAAAGAACAAATTTATTTAGATAAGGAATTATAAATAAATCAAGTGGAGGAAAATGTTTCGAAAATTAAGTACCTATCTAGATAGGTACTTTATTTTTCCTTTTCTCATATTTTTAATCAATACTGTGACCACAAATGTACCTAGTTGTTGTATTAGATAAATGTTATCGTGGACTGTTTGGTACATATTTTTAAGGCTTAAGTAGAACAATACCTAGTGTACCTACATTGTCTTACTTTAATCCAATCCGGCAGTGTCCAGCCACCGTTTGTACGTACATCACATATTAGAAACTTCTTTCTCTTCTAAATTATGTGTGATGTACACATATATATTTTGATAACAATTGATAGAAATTTTTAACACTAAGGCTGGGTTGCACCAACTTACTTTAACAATAACAAACATCAAAATTTCTGTTAAAGTATCGGTTACGTCAAAAATATGTTTCACCAATTGACAAATAATTAAACGACGTCTTAAACTGTCAAACACCAAGCGGTCACCGGTGACCGCAACCTATTGTTCTTTAATTGTGTCTATAAATACGGTACTCGACGAGTTAACTTTAACTATAACTGTAACCGCTTACTTTTATCTAGTTAGTGTTAAAATTAGTGTCAAAAATGTATCGGTCACACAGTGATATATCATTAAAATGAATATATTTGACGTTTATTATTGATAAAGTAAGTTGGAGCAACCCAGCCTTAAAGTCAGCGTTACAAACACTTACTAATACTTACTAAAACTATTTTCTGTGGTGCAACAAGGCCTTATAGTGATACTCACATTACCTACAATAACAGAAAATATCCATAGCGATGGCGCCTGCGCGGTGCTATGAGCACATTTATGTTTAAACTCTTAACAGTTTCCAGGATAAAAGAAATAAACAAAAAGTTTTCAGTTATTATATTTTTATTTCAATATGACTAGTAATAATATAAAGACATAGCCTAAATAAATAAGAATATAGGTTCTATTATGAAATATTTAGTTAAATGCCATAAGGTACCTTACTTCTACATTATAAGAGCCTAACCTATAATAGTTTGCAGTAAAGAGCAAATCATAAAAATGTATTAGGTATGTTATGTTTAACAATTGTTTGTGATGAAGGCAGCGGCTTGCATTATAAAATTATATTACATATAATGCCCAATTTTTATTCATTTCGGTCATGAAATGTGAATGCTGTAGGTACACCAGATTTCATGTTTTAAGCTGTTACTGCGAATTTTTAAAAACTATTAATCAGTAATACTTGTTTGAATTTAACCCTAAATTTCTTCCTTGGCATGTTCCACTTGCGATCCACTTGACCAACGAGGCAACAGGCAAAATGAGAAACCTACCTAGTAAGATTATTTTTCGAAGTACATCATTAAATTACACATAAATAGGTAGTTCATTGTTGTCTATTTTGTGTGACCAAACATTTTATTTATCTTATTTCGTCATCCCACGTTAGTGCAACCGGCTTTATGCCAATGACCTCTTATATTGGCAGGCACAGCAGGTGGGTAGATTCACTTTAATTTTTTCTGTTCCATTTTTACCATCGTGGACGAGGAACTCCCATACACTATATTTTTGTTTGCAAAATGGTTTCAGCCCCGTAGGATCCCTGAACGATGTGAAACAGGCACTTCCAACTGATCTGTAAAATAAAATTAGAACATTAATTTAGTCTAAATTTAATCCATATAACATTTTTGGTAGATAAATCTATCTATAGGTATACAGTATTAAAAATTGGTCTGCTGCTGAATAGAAAACTGAATTTATAGAAATTATATTGACAAGTGTAAAAATTTACGTCAATCCCATATAATTTAGTTTTCTACTCATTCGGTAGACAGGCCCTAAATGAAATTTGGCTTATAGCACTGGTGTCTCGTGACAATTTCACGGAAATAATATTTAACTCATCTTTTTTCAAAAACAAATGCTATTATGCTATATATTATGATTATTAATTCGCGTATATACTTTTTCATAATTCTTTTATCCTTTAATAAGCAAATATATAAATGAATGTATAAAATAATTAGAAACTAAAACTTTTGGAAGATAATTTATGAGAATCAATGTAAATAAATTAATAGTGATGCGACGACAAAACTGCATCACAAACCGAATCGGATTTCTTTACAACTTTCACTGCAAGGAATGCTGCGATACTAGTCTAGACCTCATTCTATCGATATCAATTTGATAGGTTGTTGAGATGCTGGATAAATGCTATATTATCAAGTAAAAGTATAAAATTCATACAAAATTTATTAAAAACTAGCAAACCCGGTGCCCGGCGAAACGGCGTTCGCCGCCGGGTTTGCTAGTTTTTTAGTTTGTTGTTTTAGTATGCGCAGATGGCTTCGTTTTATGTAACATTCCGTTTGGTGATTAGTGAATTTTCTTTGCTATGCTCACGGAGCCCGAGACCTTTCCAACGAATGCAAAACCGTTGAAATCGGTTCGTGCGTTCTGGAGTTATAGCGTCAGGAAGGAAAACCCGACTTATTTTTATATAGTAGATGATTCGTTGAATTTGTTGGTAAGCGCAAAAAGAGAACAGCTGAACCGATTTCGCTAATTCTTTTAATGTTGAGTTTATTAGTGATAGTGGAAGGTTCTTGTGTACCTAAAAAACAACAAATTAAACTAGCGGATCAGTTAGTATTCTATAAATAATTATAAAGGTAGACTAAGTTTGACAGAAAAGGGAACATGATATATTCCCTGAAGGAATAGCTTTATTACATTTTTAATTGCATTGTTTTGATATAAAGTCGGAAATACATTATAATCACAGACAGATTGGATGAGGTTGACCTGCTGACTACTGTAAATTGTACAGGGTTACTCTATGAGTGCAGATAGCTCCTTCTAGATTAGGCAGCACTGTTCAGTAGGTTTGGCTGACCCAAGAAATTCCTACTTTCAATTTTGTTAAATTTCGATCAAATATTCTTACCTGAGAAAAGCTACTAGTTTCAGTAGCTCACTGGTGCGCTGCGCGACGTCGCCGCGACCGCGCACGCTGCTCATGAGGAAGAACCCCCCTGTGGTTCGAAACTAGTAGAGCTTTTCTCAGTATATTCACGTGTGTAACCCGCGATTTTACTTAATTTAGCATGTCTCACGATAGTTATTATAAAAACAATCATATTACCTATTTATATTCTTTATTTTTTTGTTAAACTGTAAATTGTAGTTTCTTGTAAAGTTACTTACTTGCATGATTCAATTCGCACCATCTGTAAATAATTCTCTTCTGGAGCTTGGACCACTGTGCGCCACTCTCCTTCCAAGGACTTTACTTTGTAAAGCGGCTCGAACTGAAAATTGAAACATTTGTTTGAGTCATTTTGCATAGTATACACATATTACATTTTGTGGGCCGTATGCATACTTATTTTGGCAAGGCTATTTTAAATTGTAATGATTAAGGTACCTCTTCTCTTGCACGTCACTGAGCTCAATTTTTAGCTTGTTTTGAGTGTAAAATTTACGAATTAAATTATCAAAGTTGGTACGTTTTATTTAATTCATTCCAAGATTTGTGTTTTTATGTTTATTATATTTACCGTCACGACAGTGTCACAGTCATCCACTTCGTCTGGGTCTCCTTGGCGATCATCTGTCATCATAAACGTTGGCTGGAATATTGGTTCCTGAAATTATTTGAACATTGTTGTGTTAGATTATTATATTGATTTCTGGCTTAAGAAATTTTAAGATCTAACACATTTATTTATTACGCATGTATGTAAGTGTAGAACTATATATATAGAATTAAATTTGATTAAATTCCTTATATTTATGTGGGGTAGAGGGCAAACACACAGGTGGATGGTTTGATCGTTTGTTTTACCTATGGGTTGCCAGTCGTATAAAAAGGAATATGCGTATGCGTATATATAGAGGAAGCCTGGGTAAAAGCATACAATTATTAAACACTTCTTCATGCTCCTTTACTAAACAAATAAACTGTATGTAAGTACAAGAACCTTATGTAAGTTAGCTGCAAAGTATGATATAAACATACTTTGTTAACAACAGCATCTAATCTTTTCGCAAGAACCTAAGTGTTTACCCGTTGGTGTGAATTAATTTTCTTTTGTCATTAATTAAGTTGTGTAATGTGTCATTATACTCTGTTAGTATTCTACAACTCGAAGGCAATCAACTTACCTTAAATTTTCCTTTGAAAATTTTATTAAACAAATCTTGAGGGTAGTCATTAGGTTTCACAGTGCAAAAGTTCATATCCTTGCACTTTTCGGGTACAACATTTCCGTAGCGATTCTTTATATCTTGTGTTGGTCCAGGGAATACTATGGAAGAGTCGCCATCTGGAATTAAACAGAACTAATTAAAGATGTAGGTACAGACAGAAAAATTATCTGCACAGGTAGCCCCAAACCACAATAAATTCTGATAATCTACCGACTCTTAATGGTTCATACAACTAGCCGTGGATTTTATTTTAATATGCACTGTTAAGAGATGGTTTAAAGGAATATATTCAGGCCTCTGAACCTTGGCGTGACCCTAACGTCGAGCAGGCGTCAAACATTATTTACGTAAATTAAATTATTAATTGTTATTAATTAAAAGTGAGTTTCTTAAGTACCTTTTGTTGTCGATGCTCCATTTGCTAACTCCAAGCTGCTCAGCATGCACTGGAATAGATAAAATCGTAATCGTTATATTGAAGTAAATTTAACAGTTACCTAAAACACTAAAGAGAATTTTGTCTGTACTCTCATCAAAAGTTTCATCCAATGTCGTTAATTTAAGTACCTCTAACCTATTGCCAAATATCGGGCACCACTTTGTAATATTTATTGGAGATCATTTTATAACAATTAGAACTAAAATTGATATATTTTGTCTGATCCTGAAAATATGCATATTTGCGGTTGTGATTCCTCTCAAAACAAGACAGTCACTATAGAGCATCTGCATAATGTATTATATTGTTAAGTTAAATACAATATATTGTTAAGTTTTCTTTACGATCACTTCAATTTTAATGACGCAAACCGGTATTTCTTGTTGACTCATATTTCAGAATGTTACCACTCGTCTATTGTCGTCATTTTACGTCACGTCGCCGTCGAGATTCTAGTCTTGAAATAATAATAATAATATATACATTCAATTAACATATAATTCTTGGGAATTACGTTAACGTCATGTTGTTTTATCTTGACCGAAATTTTTGAACGCGTATGTTTATTATACTGGTAATAAAAACCTCCGTATTAAAAAAGTTGCTGAAAATATTAGTGTGCACTCATATTTCTGAACAAAAACCTCTGGTTTCAAAGTATTAACTGATAAAAAAACGTTCCAGACATGTACTGACATGTGTTTGTCAGTGTTTTTCAATTAACTTTTCAATTTTAATAGTCTTGAACAGGTCTTGTGCCCAAATCGCGGATCTACGCGAGTCACAATATATTTTCTAGTAAGCGATTAAATAAAAGATGTGCATAAATAAGTACAATATTTACATGTGTATGATATGAATAATACTTACATACGTTATTGTACCGTACAATGTACAAATTGTACATAATTATCATGGGTACCTACTTATCAACGTTGATTAATTTATTACAGTTCATTGCCGCAACCTGCATAAATAATGCTACATGGTATTAGTAACATCCAATGAGAGGAACTATGTTATTGCTATCGTGATGTCACGTCGTAATTATTCTATCCGGAAAATGTATGTATATGTTTGTAATCTATAGTCGAAAGAGTAGTTTTGGAATGTTTGCTATTTTTTATCAAATTATCAATGAACAGACTTTTTGTTCTTTGAATATCACTGTTTAATTTTAACTTTAATTCATTCCGCAACTTGTTTGTATCATTCAATATTTAGTATACTTTACATATATTTGTTAGAATAATTCCCTCTTTTATATTTCTTATACTCTTTCCCGTACCTATTAATTATTATTATCACTTTTCAAACCATTGCTTTCTCATATTCAGTTTCTTAGTATTTTGTAAAGTAATTTCTGTTTAAATTACTAGCTGCAGACTGAGTGCCTACATCCACAAGTATGGAGAGAAACGTGACTGACTTGTCGTTATTATAACAGGTTGGGACTACAACCAGGCCCTAGTTGCCTTTACTTACACAAAAACAGTGTACGCAAGAAAACCAGTCAGTAAACATATCTAATTATAGAGGCAAGTACCTAGTATGAACTTGTGAAGTTGCGCTTGAATAAGTTTAACGTCATTAACCTGGGACAAGGCCTTGATCATAATTGTTATCAAATTAATGCATACGGTTCTAATATGAGGGTGTAATGTCAAGAGGGTAACATGAATGTTTAAACAGTTTGGTAACGTTCACATATACGATCGGAGACCTTCATTGAGTGGATACTCATTTAAGGTAAAATCTATAAGGTATGATCTAAACGCAGCTCATACCTTATATACCATATAGTAAGGGACCTTTGTGCATTCGCCTTTAATTTATTTCTAATTGACTTCTAAGCATTTGTTTATGTAGAGGTCAAAAGTTCATTTTAATCAACTATCTACATCATTATCATAATTTATGTTACGATCTCTTTATTGCTTCAATTACCAAATTACAAAGGTTCGAGTTTGAAATATAGAATTTTATGTATACTAACATTTACCTACTTATATTTTAATTTAGTAATATTGTGACTACAGACAAGTGTAACTGTTATGGAATATTTAAGATACAAAATGGTTACGTTTCTTCTTCTGTTTCACATACAAATTTTGAAGGTCATATTTAGTAACCAGCTAATTTCACAGTTCATGTAAAATAAAATTTAAATAAATAATAAAATAATATCTACATTCCTTTTTATGATAATTATACACAGCTTATCAAGTAAATGGTTTTCTAATATCTTCTATGTTTATAGAACTTTTTATCATTAAAAAAATAGAATCTAATAAATAAAGTTGAATTTGATAAGATCTATATTTAAGGATGTATACTAACCTTGGTCTTGACACAAAGAAACTTCTAAGCCGACCAAGGACTAAGTTCAAAACAAAACAAAACAAATATAAATATATACAACGGCTCTAACTAAAAACAGTTATTCTATCAGTATGAAGATTATATGATCACACATTTTAGGTATATTATGTTATAGGTACTTACGATAACAAGGTAAATGCCGAAGAACATATTGCACGATTACAGCTCAATATGACAGATATACAAGACACGTGCACTCTGGTCCCTCTCTCGACAGTTACTGACTTAGGTGTACGGTAAACTGATTCTTTGTATTTATATTTTTTACACGAAGCGTCACGTAAACTCTTGGATATATGGGTTTAACGTAATTATTCCAACTATTCTCATAGCTACTACGATTGATACTGTTTGTTTTACGTTTTTCCTAGATAGCACCATTTGCGTACAGTTATTGATTTTTTATTTGTAAAAACATATATTATTTGCTTGGACATTGGATGCAAGTAACGAGTTTATCGTTTGGTGTGAAGAACTGTGATGGGCCTTTGTCGTATTGAATAATAGAATGAATAATAATACCACAATGTCCATCTCCAATACCCGAAAGGGTATGTCACTTTTCACAAGTAACGTAATTAAATAATGAAAGTGGATGGATAATTATCTCTGTTAATGTGATTTGAAAACAGTAAATACATGACGTATTCTATCTAATAATTTAACTCGTCGAGTACCGGTTTTATAGACACAATTAAAGAACAATAGGTCGCGGTCACCGGTGACCGCTTGGTATTTGACAGTTTAAATTCTAAAGTATCCATTTGGGACTGATCAAAGCACAGGAAGTTGGTGCGTGACAGATGACAGGTGATGTCATCACTCACCATCACAGCCTACCCCTTTGCAACTACGTGGGCTTGAATAATATCAGGGGTAGAGTACAAAATGTAGCTTTTTGGTGATTCATTTCTGTCACTAATTTTTTAGTACAATATAATTATGGACTTTATACATATATATTACCATTCTCATATATTTATGTACATGGGAATGGCAATTATGCCAAATAAAATTCTGTCACGTTAATTTGTATAGCGTTGAAAATTTGGACATTCGGCCAAACAATAGTTAAATGCTTAACATTTTATGTATGTATATAATATTCGGTACCTATTTTGGCGGCGGTATATTTACTTTAGAAATATTCGATACTACTAGCAAATGAATTTAGGAGTATCAAGGATGCTGCTAAATAGAGGGAACCCTTTACCTTTGCTTAGTTATATTATATTATTTATCTACTGCCTCGTTGGCCGAGTGGTCGCAATTGCGATTGCCGGGTGAGGGGTCTCGGGTTCGATTCCAGGGTCGGGCAAAGTATTACTGGGTTTTTAAAAAATTCTCAGTAGTAGCACGGAGTCTGGAACTGTGCCCGGTATATGGCAATAGGCTCACCCCCTATTACATGGGACTCATAACATAAATAGTGAAAAGTGGGTGTGACATTGTACAGTGGTATAATGTGCACCTCTGCCTACCCCTTCGAGGATAAAAGGCGTGATGTTATGTTATGTTATGTGTTATTATTTATCTACATTTGTGGAATACATAGAAGTTGGTTGCGTAGTAGGGAAAATGTGACAGTAATTTCTGCATGTTAAAGACAGCGAAACTATGTCACACAGAATTTTTGCTAGTCATGTATATGACACATAAGGTAACATTATTATTGTTCTTAATATCCAGTAGGTACCAGGTAAATCTACCTATTTACTGCAATAAATTCCTGAAATGAGTAATTTTCATTCCTAGGTTATATTTTTAGAGGGAATAGCCGCATTGTGTTGTGACGTTGTTCTTTTACTAAGAATGGAATCGTATTATAACGGGGATTTCCTGAAATAATTAAAAATCATGGAAAAACTTGTCAGTTTTAAGACACAATGGAACATTTTCAGATTTCTATAGATGTTTTATGTATTCGATACACACATTATCTAACTTGAAAGACGATTTGTTTCCGGTACGCCCTACGGGAGCGCCGGGAGCTGACAAAATGAAAGCAAAAGTATAGAATAATATCGAGTACTTTTTCTAGGGATATCTCAAAAATGAGGATTTTCGCAGGACTTTGTAAGATAAAATTTAAATTAGGTTATGTTATTACGTATTAAGGTAATCAAAAAACTTCTTTTCTTACCCTAATACGATCTATCTTTCTGACATTAAGCATTACTGGTGGTCTGAGTAAGTAGCATGGGAGATATATGTCCAGTGACATAGTTAATATTTTTTTTCTCTCTTCTCTCATAATTTATATTTTTTTAAATCTTTCTAATGCAAATATTGTTTTTTTTTATGAATTAGTAAACAACTTCTAAAATTTAATTCACATTGGGTATTGCACTGCCAAAAAATGTTAACTCTCATGTATGGTAGGTATATAGGTAACTTCAATCGCCTTAATTTCAAACAGGTAAATATATACTTAGCTAATTTAACGTATACTATAATATGCAAAACCGTTTACTGTCTGGAAAATTTACTTCACAACAATAAAACAAGAAGGATAACTTAGATGTGCAAAGCATGTCTTTCCTCATCTCATGAACGCAGAATGGTACTCATTTTACAATGAGGAAAGCACACTACTTTTCTGAATCATTTTTGTAGGCAAGTTGTTGCTCTATTTTATACAATCACTCAGAAACATAATAATATGATGTCAATACTCTTCCTTATATGTACATAGATATGTCGTGGTGGCCCGGAGGTTTAAGGCGCCCGCTTCTCATGAATGAGGGTGCCGGTTCGAAACCAGTGAATTTTTCCGAGTTATATGTACTGTCTAAGATTATTTAGACTCCACTGACAATCGGTGAAGGAACACATCGTGAGGAAACCTGAACTTATAATTTCTTATTATAAATTTGAAATCGCCAACCCGCATTGAGCAAGCGTGGCGATTAATGCTCAAACCTTCTCCGTGTGAAAAGAGGCTTTGCTCAGCAGTGGGCATTTAATGGCTGTTTATGATGATAATGATGATACGTAGATAGCGTATCTAGTCACAAACATTATTGCAGTTTAATTTCATCTTAAAACCTACATTTTGCCATTTAGTCTTCCACTGATTCACTGTCGATCATCAAAATCCCAACCAAAAAAAAATGGTGCTCTCGAGATGACTGGAAAATATTGTTCGTAGATATCTCGGTCCATAGTAAGCACTGTTAATAGAGAATTCTGTTCATAGATAGTACTTCTTAAGTAAACTTCGTGTAAAAAAACTACTTTTTCCATATTATTTAAGAGTATTTAATTTATTTAGTAGCTATCCAAGGCCACTGGTCATTTCAAAGTAGTACATACGTAGGTACCTTATTCTTCAACCAGGTTATCAATAAAATTGTATTCAAAAGTTACATCATGGCTGAGAAACGTGTTATGACTTATGAATATGGTACTTTGGAACAGGCCTTATTTTAAGTAGTACCGACGACTCAAAGGTAAAAAGTTTGTGTCACAAATTTTGTATAAAAATTATTAAAGCCTCATTTACTTATTAAGCTGCTTACAATTTTATTTCAGATTATTCCTGTGACCATTTGCTATACAGATTTTAAATAAAATTGAAGTGTCTGTTTGTAATATTTCAAAATTACCGTTTTTTACTACATGTGTATAAATATAAACACGATACACATACCAAAGTAACATTTTTTACAGTTTTTGTCTCTCCGTCTGTTTGTACTGGCTAATCTCTGGAATGGCTGGACCGATTTAGACGGGACTTTTATTGACAGTTAGCTGTTGTACTAAGGAGTAACATAGACTTTTATGTTAGAAAATTTAATAAAAATTTACGTTATGTCCTAAACTTTGACTTTTTACCTATCAGTATATGCGGATGGGCAACCTATCATAGTAATAGTAGTAGATAATAGTAACATTTTGGTTTTTTAGTTTTTGAAGTCGTCATTTAGGTAGGTACTATTGTTGTGGCCATGGCAAAGTATTATTATTTTTAACACATTATGATTAATTTCTGTGATATGTAGCGTAGCTACTTAAGGGAAAAGAAAAGGAATTTAAGTAGGATACTTTAGAAAGGGAATTAAGTAAAAAACTTTTTAAAATAAAACTATGTTCAAAATGCCCTTTAGTTTTTTTAAATTAATTAAGAAGTTGAAAAAATTACAGATGTTAAATAAAATAATAAACTTTGGCAGCTTGTAAGCGATTTTATTAAAATCATTTAGTAGTTTGAAGTATGCAACATATGCAGTAAGATGGAATAAGATTTGACAGACTTTGGAGAATTACAACATAATTTGTTTTGGATACACAATCAAATAACTTACTTTGAGTACAAATAAACATTTTGGGTATATTTTTCACTTCAATAAAATAATCACATTATACCAACAGTGACAATTAAGACGAAGGGTTTTTGGGTATCGAGCTCCCTAAAAAATTGTGGGTCCATCCATCCTGTTAAACCTCCATGACGATAATAATAGAATTTGAATTCTGATGCATTTCACAAGTAAATAATTGACCACAATTTCTTACTAACCTACAATTTATGTAGGGTATGTGTAATGTATTGAGAATATCATTTTGTTAGGTAATTGACATATTTGTCAAAACGGGTCAACCCCCTCTTCCTCTCAACCTTTGTAACGACTACATATACTTTGTGATTATCTTAATAATTTCAGTAATTATCAAGGCGTTATTCATTTATTTTCACAATATATCGGAAGGTCCGGTAAACGTCAGCACCTATGAATTATCATTTCTTTTCGAAAATCATTAGTTTTGTAATATAGAGTTAACAGGCCCTTCGTGGTATTTTTTTATTACTCACTTGGAAGTAAACTCATTATAGTAATTCATTTAGTATAGTCATAGTCCGCTATAAGTAATATTAGTTGTAGCGCCTAGAATTTATGTTGAAGCAACAGTTGGGTAGTGGTGAAACGTATTGCAATTGTGATTATAACATGAATGATACATTTTTGATCATGATTTTAATGAAGTGATTGTTTTTCCATACTTGAAAAGTTTTTTTATTTAATTATCTCCTGATAAAATAATGTTTCCTATTCATGTCACCTGCTACCTTTAGTTTGCTCAACTTGTTTATTCTATCTTAGAATATATGCTCTCTAGCAAGTATTTCAACAAAATATATCAAATGAAGGCTGTTAAAAATGCAATAAATTTATTTCTTTATAAATGTGCATACATCATAGTTCTTACATAATTATTGAAGCAACAGTTGCATTTTTCAGTAAAAGTTGTGAGGCAAAGAACTGTCAAAATGCAAAAGCTACTTTACAAAATCAGTCTATATAGTTACATACATAGGTTCTTAATTTAGGAACATCATTTTAATTGCGTGATTTAAGGTCATAGCGGCATTTGCAACATACTGGGATGTTAGCTGTAGCGACCTCTATTTTATTCTCTTCTTGATTTAGCACAACAAAGTTGAACTTTGACTTGACGCTTACACATTCAACGTCAAACTTGTCGAAGGTTCTTGATGCCATGAAGTGTCGCGTGTCGTTTGTGACCTTTCCTTCATTGCTGGAAGAAGAATAAGAAAATTGAATAAACAAGATATTACCCAACAGGAATATATTAGTACTTATATATTCAAGTATAAATGTATTGTCCTCTCTCTGTATACATGAATTATTAAAGAAATTACGTTGCATTACGCAGTTATTTCATATGTTATATGTTAGTTAGCTTCATATGTTAGTGTGTATTTAGTGGACAGTACAGTGTGGACTAAAGTAATGGTTGATAAAGTGTAAATACTTACACGCACCACCTGACGTTGTACCTCTGTGTGAACTTGTCAGGTATCTGCACTACAACCCTCACGGCGTCGTTTTCATCCATAATGTAGTAGATGGGACCATCCTGAAAACATTAAACATTGATGTTTTGGAAGCCATTTTGGAAAAATCTTAAAACACAAAAATGTCTCGCCAATGCATATTGATTAAGTACCTACATATATCATCTGTAGATTTTGACATCTGATTTTAAAGTCAGTCAGTGTTGAAAGTCGTAATTATTGTAAGATTGTTTATTATAATTACAATCAAGTACATCAATGTCACTGATGTTGAATTTACTTAATAAATACATATAAAGCCGATGTACCTATTCTATACTTACATTTGATTTTGATGGACAATCAGGTTCGTCAATCTCACTTCCTTTGCGTGTACCGATACGGTTCTGGCTTTCAAAGTTCAAATCCTACAAAAACAAAAACATTAATCAAATTTAATTCGTTTTCTCTGAATTAATCGTACGTACAAAGACACAAATGCACCTAATGTACACACTACACACAGCTATATTATAGGTAGTCTTTCTTGAAAATAGTTAAGATCATCATAACAACAATCCAAAAATTATTTATTTTTGTATTTATAAAAAAAAAACATTAAATTCTTACCAATTTCTGAATTACATCATCAGGATAATTATCACCCTTCTCAAAACAATACGATTGTCCTATGCAGGCATCCGGCATTTGATCTGAAAAAATACATTTTATTAAAATATTAAAATATCATTATGTCGACTGACGGTGATTTGATGAACAAAATTATTAGGTAAACAAAAACTGTTTATTTATTTGTTTCATTGTTAGAAGTAATTATCACATCTTTCAATACTTGGATAAAGTTAAATGAATTGTACATTTACATACAAATATTATGTATCTTTTCTAGTACGTATTTGATAATCTAATTAAAAATACGCCAGAACTTCATCGTTAAACATAAAAGATAACTTGAAGAAAAATAATAATATACTATGTTACTTACATTTGAACATACTTCTGGAATCGACCAATAATTCGCCATCAACACTCGTTGACACTGTGTTTGCGCTTATGTGAATTGCCATAATAACCTGAAACAAAATGTTGTTCAACTGAGCTTTTTTTATTCTTAAATAACTAAGTTTCCAAAACCTGAGTTGTTTGGGATAAAATGGATGACAATAATTCAGGTCAACAAATACTATAAGCAAAAAAATCGTTGTTTGAGGATGTATATACGTACAGTTAGATCTACACAACACATTTATGCTTTTGGGTTTTTCTAGACAGCCATTTTTTTAGGTAACCATTGTATGATAAAAATATTGAATTGTTTTGGGTAAAACTCACCACAACAACTGAAGCAAGAAAACGAGGAAGATTCGCCATTTTTTAAATATTAAAATGTACTTTTCAATTAATTTTAGAGACTGCCACTGGTGTTCAACGATTGAAGCTTTATGTGTCAGTGATATGTTTCGCAATAAATGGCTTCATTTATAATACAGCAGGCGCGACTATTGTGAGGAAAACTTTCAATATTCCATGAAATAATAAATTATACTGTTTTCCGCTTAACATAATTATTATATTTACAAATTATACTTACGAATGACGATAGAAATTATAATGAACATATTTATTATGTGTAATATGACACATACCTACCGCTATAATATACGCAATTTTTTTTAAATAATTCGTTAAAAAACTTACCAAAAAAGCCTGCATGCATCCTTTTTTAACAAGAACCATGGCGGACAGTCAATAAATTACTTCGATTATGCGCCCAATTCAAGCTTATTAATGCAATTTATTAGAATCCGAGAGGATATATGCAAAGAAAGAAAAAACGAGAGACCTGACCTATCTGTTTCTATTTTGACATCATTGACTCTTAGAACAGCCTGTATAATATACAATTTCAAACAATACTCTTTGACTCACCATAATAATATATGCGCATTATCCTCTTACGACATATATCCCCGTTATTCCATTTATTATGAGGATTTATCAAATTACGTCATTCAGTGCACGTCATAGGAAATTCATACGTAAAGGTACAACAAGCACAAGTAATTTATTTCAATTTTGGTTCATCATAGTAACAGATGATAACGCCTAGTCAAAGGCCATAGATAGGCCCAGATGGAAATGAGAGTGGACTGTATTTTAAAGGTATATATTAGGTGTTGTACAATGGTCTAAAGTTATAATAAAATCATGCGATCGTGGTCGCGTTGTTGTAAGGAGTGTGTTAAGAGCACACGGGTCGTCGCCGAGACGTCGCGTTACCAAGTCGCCGCTCTCCTCTTGATGAAGCATGTGTGCATCGAAGGTGTTAACGTGTGCGGACCTTGATGTCTTAAATAAATAAATGATTGGTTGATTGAAAGGACAACATTTTTTAACTTTTCTGAGATGAAATATTTTGCCTTCGTAGAGGATGTCTTCCTTTAGGTACAGTCTTTTACAGCTTTTAGTGCCTCTTTACCTCTATATTTTACTAGTTTCTGTCAGCGTCTTCATACGTACAAATAGGTGATTCCCGTTTTCCCATCCCAGTGGCTGATTAGGGAAGTCCCCTTTTAGTCCCTTTTTAACCGACTTCAAAATGAAGTCGGTTGAAAAGGAGGAGGTTCTCAATTCGACCGTATATATGCATTTTTTCTATGTGTGTTCGCTGATATCTCCGTTATTTATGAACCGATTTCGATAATTATTTTTTTGTTGGAAAGGAAAAAGTCCCAATAGTCCCATAATAAGGAAAAAACAGGATCTGATGATGGAAGACCAGGGACACCGAGGGGAACTTTAAAAAATTATAGGGGCGACTAGTGCATTTGTTAATTTTTACATTTACTTAATTAAAAACCACTACCATCTGATAAAGGTCTGGAGTCATTCTGATGATGGAGCCGAGAGCCAGTCGAGGGAACTCCTCAACGGTTAACAGTAGCTACCTTGTGTTTGGGTTTGTTTAATTTGTGTTGATGAGGACTTTACACCTAGGTAAGGCGTAATTGTCAATAAGAGTCTGATGATGAAGTAGTACGGTAGTTGAGGGAACTCCTCAACGGCTAACAGTGGCACCGACTTCTAACCTATCAGTGGGTGTGTAAGCTATAAGTATCTACGTATGGCCAATAATAGTTATTTTTTTCCGTTTTAGTTTTTACTTTACGTTTGTCTTTATTCTTTGAAGTCGGTTTTTTAGTTCTCCCCTAAACTCCCCAAAGAACATTTATGTCAAGTTTCAGCTTCTTAGGTACAGTAGCTTCGGCTGTGCATCGTCTGTCAGTAACTCAGTAATGCAAGAGCTTGATATAATAAAATTATAATATGAATTAATATTCATAAATATATGAGTTCCTTGTTACAAATAATAACTACATATTGACTAAATCATCCATCAATCTATCCCTAGATAAACCTCTTATCTACCTATATGAGACACAATTGAAAACACATTGTGTCTCGCATATATCTACGCTCCCGGCATACCATTGGTTAAAACATGATTTGTTTTGGTTATCAATGTCAATTTTAATTCAGGTATTAAAATACATACTCAAGTCATGCTGGAGTTCTGAAAACTATATGTATAAGTATAGAGAATATAGACATTATAAAATACTAGCTGTTGCCCGCGACTTCGTCCGCGTAGATTAATGACTTCTGACAGAATTAACCAGAATCAATTCAGTGCCCAAGTAAGATTTACCTATTTTGAAATGATTTATTGTAGTTTCAATAAATAAATAATCCCGCAGGGATCTTACCAGTACAGTGCCCGATCACGTAAGGTTTGAGTAATAAAAACTATTCTATCGACTATTGTTGTACCGAATCTCTCTAGAATAAGTTCAGTGGTTAAGAGTTAGAGAGTCCTGGGGCATTAAGGCATAGTTCCCGTTCTCGTGAGACATCTGTGAAAAAACTATCATACGTTACCCAGGTCCTAAATCATTGTTTTACCGAATGTAATTCAAAAATATTCAATGATTCTAAATTCAACGGCTAAGAAGATTTATACAAACTCTCATTCCCTATTTTATCCCCTTAGGGGTGGAATTTATCAAAATCCTTTCTAAAGAGATACCTATGTCATAGTAACTTTATGCATGCAAAGTCTCAGCCCGATCAATTTAAAACTGGCAAAGTATCATACCAACTTTCACCCCCTATTTTACCCACTTTGGGGTGAGAATGTTCAAAAACCTTTCTAAAGGGACGTTTACGTCATAATATCCATCTGCACGCCGAATTTCAACCCGATCGGTGTAAAACTGACAAAGCTTCATACAAACGTTCATCCCCTATTTTACCCCCTTAGGGGTGGAAATTATCAAAATCCTTTCAAAGCGGATGCTGACGTCATAACATCTATCTGCATGCCAAATTTCAACCTGATCGGTTTAAAACTGACAAAGGCTCATATAAACTTTCATCCCCTATTTTACCCCCTTGGGGGTGGAAATTATCAAAATCCTTTCACATCGGATGCTTACGTCATAACATCTATCTGCATGCCAAATTACAACCCGATCGGTTTAAAACTGACAAAGTCTCATACAAACTTTCATCCCCTATTTTACCCCCTTGGGGGTGGAAATTATCAAAATCCTTTCACAGCGGATGCTTACGTCATAACATCTATCTGCATGCCAAATTTCAACCCGATCAGTTAAAAACTGACAAAGTTTCATACAAACTTTCATCCCCTTTTTTACCCCCTTGGGGGTGGAAATTATCAAAATCCTTTCTTAGCGGATGCCTACGTCATAACATCTATCTGTATGCCAAATTTTAGCCCAATCTGTCCAGCGGTTTGGGCTGTGCGTTGATAGATCACTATGTCAGTCAGTCAGTCAGTCAATCACCTTTGAATTTTATATATATAGATATATAACTCAATACAGGTTAAAAAGAAATGTATCAAACTCTTGCCCTATAAGATGAAAGTGTTGATTTCAGATTATTTCTTACGAATATTGTACTTATATTACCAATAAGTGTTTACAAATAATAATATTACTACAGTTATTTTTGTACTTCAAAAAGTGTTTATTAATCTCCATCAGTCAATCTATACTAAGGTAAGGTTTTAAATAAATGAATAAATAAATTTTTGATGATCATCAAATATTACGTTCGTCGTCTTCTGTAGAGCCAAGTTAGTTTCTAATGAAGCGCAAGGAATGTAGTTTGAAACACTTTGACTTTTCAGAGGTAGGCAAGTAAACAGAGCTTTAACTAGATGGCGCTACTTGTACCATATTTAATATTTAGTAACAATTATAACAATACCACTTAACTAAATAATCTAAGAATTATGTAATTTTATGTAATTTCTAACCGCTAGCATAATTCGCAATAAATTGAAGTTTTATTTCGGATTATTTTCTGAATATCGTTCTTCTGTAAACTTACAACTTCTTAGCGTACCTAGTGAATGTTTGCAAAATGACTGAAAACTACACTGAGTGACTGCGCCTAGATTAAAAAGGCGAGAATATTACGACGAATGGACGTTTGCAGTGAAATTCTTTTTGATGTTAGAACGTGTGTATTTTTTTTTTTTTTTTAAACGCCCCACACTAGTATTTTCTCCTGTGTCGTGGGTGCGTTTACAAACACACAAGTTCACATACACAAAGACACCCAGCCCCGAAACAACAATTTGTGGATCACACAAAGTGTTGTCCCGTAACCAACCGTATGTCCCTAAGTAGGAATCGGCTGATGCTAGTTCTATTGATGATAAAAATGTTAAGGCTATGTTAAACTCATCATAAAAACTGATTCATCTACATAAATAAACATAAAAAAACTAGCAAACAGTTCAAATGTTTGAAGTCGCTTTATGACGACTCTGGCTCTACGCGTCGTATCAGCTTACTTGGAAGATATTATAGTTGGTGGCGCGTAGCTCGCAGCGAGTAGTTGGCAGCCTGTAGTTCGTAGCTCGTAGTTTGCGTAGCGTAGCTCGCAGCGTGTAGTTCGTAGCGTGTATTTCATAGCGCGTAGTTCGTAGCACGTAGTTGATATTTTAAACTAGTACAATTTTACATAGGTCTGTAGTCGATCTGATGATGGAGCCGAAAGTCGAGGGAACTCCTCAACAGTGCATAATAACTACCTTGTGTTTAGCCTTGATGAATTTATATTGATGAGAACTTTACACCTAGATGGAGTGGGACTGTCATTAAGGGTCTGATGATGAGGAAGTGTAATTGTTAAGAGAACTCCTCAACGGTATACAGTAAATACCTTGTGTTTAGGTTGGATTAATTTGTATTGATGAGTACTTTGTCTAGATGTCATTAAGTCAGTGAGACTGTCATTAAGGATCTGATGATGAAGAAGTGTAATAGGGATAATGACAGGGTATGCCATATTTCAAATCAATATACTGTCGAAGTATTCGTTTCCGTAAGAAAAAAAATACGCGTCTAATGTGTTTAAATAATCTACTAGACGGCCAATAAAATAAAAATTAGTCATCTACCCTATAGTTAAGAGAACTCTTCAATGTTTTACAGTAACTACCTTGTGTTTGGGCTTAATATAACTTGTATTGATAAGAACTTTGCACTTATGTGGATTATAAGTGGCAAAAGGGGTTTATGTAGATTTACAATAAAAATGATAAAATAAAAAAATAAAAACTGCGTTTAAAGACCGACTTCAAAAAACTCAAGATCTAGAAACAAACAAAAACAAAAAATATATAACCATTATTAGTACTGATAGGTAACCCACCCACTGATAGGTTAGAAGTCGGTGCCATAAGCTCATTTTTGTGACAACCCTGGCCGATGCGTTACTGTCTAGACGATGTCAACATTTGACACAAGATCAAAGACGTCACGTCGTCCTACTGTATGATTTTTATACTGTGATAATAGCATGGAGCCTACAATTACACTTTTAAATAAGTAAAAAGCATTTTATTCTTCCCTTCTTCTCTTCGAGACGTTTCGTTACAAGAAACTCAGGATTGATCATCACGCCTTTTATCCCCGAAAGAGTAGGCAAAGGCACGTTACGGCACTTAATACCACTGTACAATATAACACCCAAACTTATGAATGGTGTTAACACTTGTTTTAATTAAGTTTTACTTATCTTTTTCTTTTATTAAATTTTTTTATTGTTGTATATATGTCAGCTACGGTAATTGGATTTTCTGCCGTTGTGACTGTTTAAAAATAAATAAATAAATAAACACCCACTTTTCACTACCTATTTATTTTATGAGTCCCATGTAATGTAGGGTGAGCCTATTGCCATATACCGGGCATAATTCCTGACTCCATGCGACTACTGAGATTTTTTTAAATCCAAATTTACTTTGCCCGCCCGGGAATCGAACCCGAGAGCCCTTGCCGAATAATGCAGGAGGGTAATACGCTCTGAGGTGCTTTGGTGATGATAGTAAATAAAAGAAATACAAATGTTACTACCTAGATTGGTCAAAAACTAAAATTAACACTAGATAATTTTATTAGAGGAATAAATTTTATTTATTTTATTTAAAATTTTTGATGATTTGGTACTTATCTAATTCCATACTTATTTCAAGCTGTCGAATTCGTTATGTCTCTATGAGTTTTGTACGAGGTTGTGTGTTGTGACGTCATGTTTTTTAGCTTGAAATAACATATCTACTTATTTTTAATGCACATTCGTATCGTCGTCCTATAATAATATTGATTTCATATTTTGTGTTTACTCTTAACTTTTACATCAGTGTTATTTAATAAATTTACGAAACAGACAGACTTATTTCGTATTGAAAGTATTAAATTTGGTTAATATAATAATAAAAGATACATTTATGATAATTCAGTCCTTTATATTTATAACTTAGGTTTATATTATTAACTTATTATTATTTAGAGGTATTTAATACAATTAAACTAGCATATATGTTGTTCGATAGGCATCTAGTATCTAGTGTCGAACATGTTGTTTAAATCAGTAAACAGCTTAAATGGTTATTGCAGCATTTTCTTCGTATGGTATTGACATTTGCAGCAAACTGGAATACCACCCATAGCCTTCACAACTTTGTACGTTAGTTCTTCAAATTCTTCTACCAACACTATGAAATCCAAATCCATTAGCGTTGTGACACATTCAATTTGGAATTTTTTTAATCTTTTCGATTCAGGGAAGAAATGGCGCGTATTCTGAGTTATATATCCTTCATTCCTGAAATATTATAATAAATTGTCAAAAAATAATTTTGTAACTGCTTAGTAAGGGATGAAATACCTAAATGTTTTGGTAGCAATAACTAGCATTATAAAATAAATACTTACAGGCACCATCTGGTACTGTAGAGTTGCTCGAACTTCTCGGGGGATTGAATAACTGGTCTGACTATTCCCGATTCATCGAAAACGTAGTAAATAGGTTGGTCCTGTAAAGAATAAAATACATTCTTTAAATTTCTTAGATCATAGAGTGAGCCCATTGTTTTTGGTTATAATAATTTACTAGCTCTACATGTCGCAACCGTTTAATTACTGGTTTATTTTATGGCCTGTTTAACCTGTTCAAAATTGTTGAAAATCATCCCATAAATTTGTTCATACAAAAGTAGTCTTTAAACATTGGAAATAAGGTCTATAATGGAGGTAGTGGAGAGTGGTCACCGGTGACCGCTTGGGGATAAACGGGATGCGTTTAAATCTTAATATCAGGGAATATAACACACTGGAGTCAACTACAAATCAAAATATTATTAGTGTCAGTAAATTAATGTTTTTAAGTACGTATTGTATCACAATATAGAAAGATGGTCGAAAGTCTTTTTTCCATAACATACCCATAAATAAAACAATAATACTCACAACATATGTGGTGTTTGCTGGACAATCCGCATTACCATTCTCTTTATCTCCATCTCGGAAACTAAAGCCTATCCTTGAGCCCAGATGTTTCTGTAAAATTTAATGTTTATTTTATAGAAAAGGTATTTATTGGATATAAATTAAAAAATCTAAAACCTTGCAAAATGTTTCGCTTATTGAGATTTGAACACAACATGCTTTGTTTATAAGTTGGTGCTATCCGTTTTCTCGGAGTAAGGATGGCCATCATATTGCTATTATATTGTTATTAAACTTTCTTAAATATCTCAGAGTTAAAAATGTTATTCTTACCTGTAAAGGGAACGTTTGTAAGAATTTTTCGACCTTCTGTTCAGGATAGTTATCACCCTTTTCGAAGCAAAAAGTCTGGTCTTTGCATGCTGCAGGCATCTCAACTGTAAGTTGTTAAAGAACATTGTTATTATTCTGAATTATTTCATCACGTCCATTGAAAGATGTACCTGCATCCTTAATACCTTGCTATGCATTACCCTTTCTACATACAGTGCATTCAATAATTTGAGCGTACATAAGTAAAATTATCATAATATAACCGTATTGTTGTGAATAAGCGTTACTAAAATGGTTATTATGCTGAATTATTTGATTTTTGAAGTGAAACCAGCACTACTAATGTATATTAATATAGATAAGTACTAGTAAGCAGTAATGGATATTATATACTCTATTACAGTTCGTCAATTATATGCGCTTATCTCTCCTTACCTCTTGAAGGCATAGCGGATAGTGTAACGTTATGCTTATTGAGAACGAGCAAGAAAAGATTTACTTACGTTTATCAAGAGGGTTGCCATCGGCGGTGATTATACTACCGTCGAAGACCGGATTACCATTTGATTTTGAAAAGCTTAGGAGCACAGCGATCTGTAAACGATACAAGTAATAAATTACGGGATTAAAAATAATTAAAATAGAAGAAAAAATAAGTAAGTAAAAGATAGTATTTTTTACTCACTAAATAAGCTGAAACGGAAAATCGGCACATTTTGAATTTTTTTTAATGAAGGTTATGCGCGGTGTATAGAAGTTATCAATTTTACTTTTATACTGATATTAATTCCTTGGATATATTAATGCGTTGCACAACCAGATCGTGTAGTGAATAGGAGACAAGTGTACTTCAACGTCCATTGTGGAACCATTATATACGCGGTTTGGGAGGAAAATTATGTACCATGAAATACTTAATACCATTTAACCTCATCATAATATTATTAATTTTATGTGTATTATTGTGCAAGGTATTTTCCCAGGTATATCCAAAAGCTACGACCAGTTGCAAATAGACATACATTTGCAACCAGTACCAAAAATGTTTGTAGACCTAAGTGTGATTTCTAATATATTGACTGATATTTTTATTTTTTGTTCTGGATCTGGGTGTATCGTATAAGCGAAATGATAGTATAGATGTATAGTATTGTATTTTACTTTAGTACTTTGGTTTGACAATTTATTTATTTATTTATTCATTTATGTACACACATTCAACACAGAGGACAATACATATATAAAAACAGAGTACATAGGCCCCACATATTCCAACTGGAATTTCTTCCTGTGGGCCTGTGGCAGGAACAGATATAACAACACCGAGACACATAACACACGTGTGTTACACAAACAAGATTAATATCAATTTAAAAAAAGTAATAATACCGAAGAAACCGATAGAAATAACAATAATAAACAATAAAACAAACTAATACAATACTATTATATAAAAATAACCAATATATAAATATACCTACATATATATAAACAAACAGATCTATATTTCAGGAGGAAAGATAATGTTCTCTCACTTGTCTCTTAAAGATAGAGATTGACTTGGCGTCCCGAATGTTCGGCGGGAGCGAGTTCCATAGTCTCACTGCATGAACGGAGAAGGAGTAGGAGTAGAAGTCGGTATTATGGGGCACAATTTTAAGATAGGATTTAAGATGAGAACGAGTAAGGACTTCAGGAGGACGCACCAAGGAGAAACGGTCTCGGAGATAAGTAGGATAGGCTGGGTTAATTAAAATATAATATTAATACATTAAAATCTTCTCATAAGTGTAATAAACACTTTTCTGAAAACCGCATCAAGAACAGTTTACAGCTAATCGCGAGATAATCGCGCACAAAGACACCTACATAAACCTTCAAATTTTCAAGAATAGAGCGTATTACTTTTTATAAGGCTGGCTACGCATCTGTAACTCCTCTAGTGTTACGGGTGTCCATGGGCGGCACTGATCACTTACCATCAGGTGACCTGTCTGCCCTTTTGTCTCCTATTCCATAAAAAATACATACGTAGGTATATATACATACATACAGGTCAAACGGAGACGAAACAACATAACCTATCTATTATGTAATTAGGGAAAATACCTATATATTAAACCAACATGGTGTTTCCCCGGCTTACAAGTTTCATTGAAAATTAAACTGTCAAACACCGCGAGGACACTATTGACCGCAACCTATTGTTCTTTAATTGTGTCTATAATGACGGTACTCAAAGGGTTAATGACATTAGCATTGCATGAGGGACAGCTATGCTTGTACACGAATAAGCCAGCTCAAACGAAGTGCTACCACTTCGCTAAACTGGCGTGAAACAATGCTTGTGCTGGTGAGGTTACTAGTGCCTCATCCTGTTCCTGCTCCCAAATCACCATAAGGCCCGCAACTTGTAACTCCTCGGGTGTTGTGAGTGTCTATATAATAGGCGGTGACGATTGCTTACCATCAGGTGATACGTGCGGTCGGTGGCTGGCCTATTTCATAAAAATATTTAGGTAGTGTTATTCATGTGCCATTAATGTTTTTCCTCCTTGTTTAAATTTTATTATTCTAAACATATGACGATGCTTTTTTTTAAACGTTGCCCCACACTAGGATTTTTTCCTATGTCGTGGGTTCGTTTACAAACATACAAGAGACCCGGAACATCAATTTGTGGATCACACATCGAGTTGCTCCGTGCGGAAATCGAACCTGCGACACGTTGCATGGCAGCCGGTTGCCCAGGCACCGCACTAACCGTGTTGTCGCATTAAAATTGATTCATAAAAAATATCACTACCAAAATTATGTCAATCAGTCCAGTCGCTTAACGGGAATATGATGTAATCTGTTGTTTTTACCTCATCTCTGACGTCATAACAGGAATACGTCACATTACCGTTTACCTAGTGTAATTAAAAATGATATTATATTTTATATTTGATTGTATTAAACTACAATGCGTATATGCTCCAAAATTACAACCAGAAATCGCGAGGTGGGCCATGCGGCATCCTTTTATTTCGGTGATTTAATTATATTTCAGACTACCTCATTGGCCAAGCGGTCGCAAGTGCGACTGCCGTCAAGGAGTCTCGGGTTCGATTTCCAGGACGGGTAAAGTAATACTGGTTTTTTTTTTAAAATCTCAGTAGTAGCACGGAGTCTAAAAATGTGCCCAGTATACACCGTTAAATTTAAATCGTTTTAATCCCTTGGAGGTTCGAACTGGTCTATAAAACACTATCGATTTGTAAAGATAAAATTAAAAAATAAAGTACTTTTTTGATCGGGCAGTGTAGGTACCTACACGGCCCGATCAAGCATAAGGTTATTGACTCGATCAACTGATGTTTGCGTAGGTAAACAAATAAATTGATTCCAAAATTTCCTTCATACTTTTACGGGCTTAGGACCGACATAACTGTACTAACGGTTCGCATTATTTATTCACTCATGCGAGAATTGATTCGAGTTATTAAAAAAAAAGTACTTTATTTTTTAATTTTATCTTTACAAATCGATAGTTTTTCATGGACCAGTTCGAACCTCCAAGGGATTAAAACGATTTAAATTTAACGGTGTATGGCAATAGCCGTATAATAGGCAATATATTATATGGGACTCTTAACTTAAATAGTGAAAAGTGGGTGCTATATATACAGTGGCATTAAATGCCGTAATGTGCACCTCTGCCTACTCCTTCGGGGATAAAAAGCGTGATGTTATGTTCATTCAAAGTCAAAATCATTTATTTCAATTAGGCCAGAATGGCACTTTTGAACGTCAACAAAAAGAAAATTACAAGTGAAGCTATTTGCTCATTCCAAGGTGTAGATTCCTATGGAGAAGAACGAGCAAGAAACTCCATAGGTTACTCTTTTTCAATCAGGTTCACAATACAATTTAGTAGTTACATAGTTTTGCTGTTTGGATTGTGCGAGAACAATGTAACACCAAAATCCAGTCAAAGTGATTGAAAAAAAAAATAACCTTAAGGACATAATACAGTCTGGAGCTGACCAGTCCCAGTTGACGGCGCCCGTTCACGAACATGACACGTACACCAGCACCGCCCAACTCAACCATATTGTAGGGAATCGAGCGATCCACTGCACGCGCCACCGCCAATGAGACCTTTGAGTGAGCATGACAACTCCAAGCTGACACAAATAAATTACTAATCTATTTAATATTAAGTTAATTACAGGGCTCTCACATTTACAAGCTTATCTAAGTTAAACAATATACAATTTAGCAATATGGCTGTATTATTTACGATTTCATTAAAACAAGTGTTTTTAGTTATCCTGTGGAGCCGGACTAGCCTGCATCCAAGCATTTTTATCCTCTATATATTCATTAAGTTTGTAATATGCTTGTCTACATAAAGTTTTCTTTATACATAATTTAAATTTCGATTCATTTAGTTGTTGTACATCGCCTGGTATCTTATTATAACATTTAACACAGAATCCCATGAACGACTTACTTACTTTCGCTAATCTCGAAATTGGCTGACTTAATCTATTCTTATGTCTAGTTTGATAGTGGTGTCTGTCCGACACTTTACCAAATAACTGTAGGTTTTTCCTAACATACATAATGTTTTCATAAATAAATTGACATGGAACGGTCATAATGTTGATCTCCTTAAACCTTTCTCTGAGTGATTCGCGACGACCTAGATTGTAGATAGCTCTGACGGCGCGCTTTTGTAAGATAAAGATAGACAATGTCAGCAGCGTGTCCCCACAGCAAATGCCATACGACATAATGCTATGAAAGTAACTGAAATACACTAGTCTTGCCGTGTCTATGTCAGTTAACTGTCGTATCTTCCAGACAGCATAAGCTGCAGAGCTCAATCGTCCCGCTAATGATGTAATGTGAGGACCCCATTGCAATTTGTCGTCTACAGTAATTCCCAGGAAAGTTGTCTCTTTTACAAACTCTAATTTCTCACCATTCAATATATGTCACATCGTTGCTTTTAACATTTGGCAAAACAAATCTAATACATTTTGTCTTTTTATTGTTAGTACTAAGTTATTTAATGTAAACCAATTTGAACTTTCATTAGGGCATTATTTACGTCGTCATAACTATTTGTGTCTATTAATTTTAAAAACTAATGAAGTGTCATCAGCAAATAATACCATCTGCGGTTCATTTTTAAATAAATGGGGCAAGTCATTTATGTAGCTAAAAATAAGAATGGACCTAGTATCGAGCCCTGCGGTACACCCATAGATATGCTAGCACCCTGTGAATTTACTTTATTTACTTGTACTTTAAGTTGCCTATCCTGAAGGTATGACTTCAACAGATTTAGCGACGTCCCCCGAATGCCGTAGTGTTTCAGCTTCAGCAATAGCGTCTCATGCTCAACACAGTCGAATGCCTTCGAAAGATCACAAAATATGCCGATGGCATCCCGTGCTTCTTCCCAAGAGGCGAACACCCGCTTAATTAGAGCTACTCCCGCGTCAGTAGTGCAGCGACCTTTGGTGAATCCGTATTGTTGATCATGAAAATAGAATTCATGTTAAAGTGACGCAACATCTGAGAAAGCATCAGCCTTTCAAACACTTTGCTGAGCGCTGGAAAATAGAGACCGGCCTATAGTTATTGGGTTCTGCACTATCACCGGATTTAAACAATGGAACACTTTACTGTATTTCATTAAATCGGGAAAACTCCGTGATCTACACTTTTATTAAAAATGAAAGCTAAATGACACACCCTAACAGACATTCCCCAGAGATCTTCAGTAGACTTAACTTTGATCTCTTTGAACGCTTTAATTACTGCTTGGGGGTTTGTGTATTGAAATCGAAACTCAGAAAGGCACTCTTGATATTACTTTTAAGAAGTTCGACGGAAAGAGTCGGAGATGATTTCAATGCTTCCGTAGTTTTAATCGGAATATTTTTAAAGAAACTTTCAAATTCCTGGCAACTTTAAATTTGAATTGATACGTCCATTCGCAGTATTTAGATTAAATTCAGCACTACGTGATTTATTTCTACCTGTCTCGTCATTAATTATATTCCAGGTAGTTTTTATTTTATTTTCTGCGGTCTTAATTTTATTGGTAATGTAAAGTGCTTTAGCCTGCTTACAAACTAATTTAAACGTTTTCGAATATTTGGAGACATAAATGTGAAAAGCCTCACTATGATTAAATGGTTTCATACCGTAAAGCTCAAATAACCGTTCCCTACATAAGCGTATACCTGGTGTAGCCCAGTCACAGAATACCAACTTGCATTGAATGTTTTTGCGTTTTATAGGGAATAATTTATCAAATTGAGTTTTAATAATTGACAATAGGTTGGCGTAAATTTCACTCGGGTATTCACTATCATGTATTTGACCGCATAAATCATTTTTTAAATTATGATTTAATGACTCAATTTTTTTATTTGAGATCTGTCTAAACATAATTTCATTTTTTTTAACAGTTTTGATGGTGTTAAAGCTGTGCATTGTATTTCAATCCCCTCTAAAATAGTAATATCTTTGGTCTACTATGGAGTAATTCTCCCGATCATTCATTATAGTATTGTGGAATCTATAAACCAATATCTAAAAACAAAAAAAAAACATTTTTTGGAAGTACTTATCCTAAGGTAAAAACATCGAAAGAAAATATAACACTTGCGATAGTTAGGTACAATTACCTTTTTATTGTAATAATATATTATCATGTAATCATAAAGGAGTGGTGTAGGTAATCAATAGTTAAACGGTAGGTATATAAAAAATTATGAAAGAAACAAAATTTTCTTTAATAAATTTCATTATAAAAAATGTAGGAACGTTATTTATATTAAAAATACATTTGATAAAGTTTTATGTAGCTAAGCAAGTGAGTAAACATTGTCAAACAAGAAGCTTGAAATAATAGTTTCTAGTTCATATTATGCAATTTTGAGTACGATAGGCATCTGGTATCTAGTGTCGAACATGTTGTTTAAATTAGTAAAAAACTTAAATGGTTATTGCAGAATTTTCTTCGTATGATATTGACATTTACAGCAAACTGGAATACCGCCCATAGCGTGCATCATCTTCAATGTGGGTTCAAAATCTTCATCTGCCAACACCATGAAATCCAGATTCATGTACGTTGTAAGACACTCGATTTGGAAACGCTTTAATCTTTGTGATGCAACGAAGAAATGTGGCGTATCCCTACGGACTATTCCTGGATACCTGAAATAAATAAATCAGGAATCATCTTTGAATCACAGGGCGTATCATCACCTACTATCGGACGAGATAGTGACCAAACGCCGATCCGTTTCCAATATAACATAGGTAGGTTTCTACATAGGTGTATGTATTAGTAAATGATAAATTATAATTTTTAGAGTTACAATAATATAGGTTTGCTTTGTAAAGTACTTAAAAGTATCATTTCCATATTTAAGGCCTATTGTCCACGTTGCAATGGGGTAGACGACTAATTTTTATTTTAATGTCCGTCTGGTAGATTATTTAAAAACATTAGACACGTATTTTTTATTTTCTTACGGAAACGAATAGTTTCGAAGATATATTGATTTGAAATGTCGCGTGACGTCACTTCTCAGTACATTTTATACTGAGAAATGACGTTTTAGCCCCCACTCCTAAACTTTGATTCGTTTTATCTAAGTATTGTTTTATTATACGACAAAATAAAAAAATACGTGTCCTATATTTTTTAATTACCTAACTTACGGACTAATTAGATTTTTAATTTTCATACCCTGTCATCATCCTCATTTGATGAATGCATACATACCGTCGTATGCATAGTTACATTTGTATTCATATGTATCGTTGCAAGATGCAAGAATTTTTTTTTTTTTTTTAATCTATTTATTTATGGGATTTAATCACACAGTGATAATGTCACCCCGTGACTTACAATTAACTTGTCTAAAATCTAAATATGCTAAGTATCTTACAAACTACCCAGGCTTACATGTACTTAAACAGTTAAACTTACATAGTATTAACTAGTTATACTTGTTAATTATTAATAACATTTAGGAGTCGACACAAAACCCTAGCATCTTCTGACAGAGGGACAGCTAGGATGCTGTTACAAGTCCCTACTTCAAATCCAGATAATTTGAAGTTTCTTTCCAATACGTTCCGATCACACTCCATCAGAACATGGTAGATATCCTCTATTACTCCACAAACTTCACAGTTTGGAGAGTACTTTTACCCATTAAGTATTTAAATTTGTTGGATGGAATGTGGCCGGACCGCATTCTCAATAATGCTACCACATATTTCCTATCTATCTCCCTACCTTCAAACCATGGGTATCGAGGCAGTTCAGGCTGGATAGTTTTATACCAGATGCCTTTCAACTGAGACCTCTCATCAAAATATTCACGCCATCTTTGTCTGCACAGTTCTTTAACATGCCCCAGCCAATCTGAGTATAGCGGTGTGCATTTGTAAATAATCCCCTCGTACGATGCTTGTTGAGCTGATGTGTCTGCTACCTCGTTACCCATGATTCCAATATGAGAGGGTATCCATTGGATAGTTATATTCTATTCAAAGACTGCATCTTGCGGATACTTTCTAAAATAGTCATGGCTATCGGTAACCCTCGAAGACTCGAGGGTATTCGAGCCAAGTGTTGAAGGCTACTTTTTGAGTCCGAAAATATAACAAATTTGTTATGATGCATATTAAGCAAATACGACATGGCTTCAGAAATAGCTATAAGCTCACAATACATAATAGAAATCTGAGAATTAATTTTAAATTTAGCTTTAATGTTAAGTTGAGGATCAAAAAAAGCAGCCCCCAAGTCCAACCCATTTTTGGACCCATCCGTAAATATTTTATAATATTGTTTGTACTTGTCATCCATCATTATTCTACATTTGTTACGGAGATCAGTTACATTAATTAGCCTTTTTGCCATATTTATACCGTCAACAGTATCACAAATTGTGTAGGACAAGTCTACATTGGTTACCCAAATGTCCAAAGAATAAATACTCAACAACGAACTAGAGTACAAAGGAATTTCTGAGTACATTCTGTGGACCTCTATTAATACTGGTAGTTTTTTATTTCTCCAGTAGAAACCATGGCAAAGGTTAGACAGCTCCTCTAAGATACTAATAAGAATGTTATTACAATCCGACTTCGATTTTAAATAAAACTTGCTTGCAAGAAACAATCTTCGAATAGATAATGGTTGCAGACACAGGTCAGCCTCCATCACGTGGATGGGTGTGCTTCTAATAAATCCCCCTATTACTCTCATTGCTTGGTTTTGTATTCTGTCAAGTTTTATGAGGTGGCTGTTTACACAATTTCCGTACAAAAAGCACCATAATCCATCCTACTTCGAATTAATGCTATGTATAATCTTCTAAGATGTATGGGATGTACACCCCATTGCGCACCAGCTAATATTTTAAAAATATTTAAATAACGACTGACCTTTCCCCGTACTTCATGTATGTGTTTACCCCACTTTAAGGAACTGTCCAACCACATACCAAGGTACTTGACACAATTGATTTGTTCAATAGGATTACTATCAACATTAGTTGGATAGTGTTCCTTCTTCTCCCTCTACTAAAAATGCACACCTTTGTTTTCTTATGAGAAACATTCAAACCTAATTCTATCATCAAATTTTGAAAAACATCTAATGCGTTTTGAATATGACATACAGAATCCGATAAAGTCCTCTGCATGTCATACACAACAAAGTCATCAGCGTATTGTGAGATATTAACGTTATCTATGGTTCTACAAACTTTACTTGTGGCTGCGTTGAAAAGTAAGGGGGACAAGGGATCTCCTTGAGCTATGCCTGTGCCGGTAATGCGAGACACTAAGATGTTATGTTGCAGTTCAATAAATAAGTGTCTTTGATGAAGATACCTCCAAAGATATTCACAAAGGATAGAACCAACTCCCATGTTATCTAAGATGTTTAAAAGAGACGTTAGATTTATATTATTATAAGCATTCTCAATGTCTATGAAACAACCTACTGTGGATACATTTTTGGAAAATCCAGTTTGAATGCGTGTGACCAATCTAGAGAGACCCTCATAACAGGATTTGGATCTTCGGAAGCCTGTAGTGTCATGAGATAGTAAATGATTTTTCTCTAGGAACCATTCAAGCCTACGTGTTATAATGGTATGAAATATCTTACAAAGACAAGATATGAGAGCAATGGGTCTAACACTTGTACTTGAGCCTAGGGCACTACCCGGTTTCGGTATAGGAACGATTTTAACATTTCTCCACTGCTCTGGTACGAATCCGGATGAGAAAAATCTATTGTATAAGGAGGTTAACATGACTTTAGCATTGTAGGGTAAATGTTTTATCATAGAATAAGACACGTTATCTTGACCCGGGGCTGAATCTGTATTTTTAATTGAATTAATTACTTCCTGTATCGAAACCGGTATGCACAATTGAGCGTTACAAGAATTGAATGTAGGTGTCGGTGGTGAAACATAATCGGGGGCCAGACTACACAACAATGTTTCGGCTTTACCTTGATCAACAAACGATGGAGACGATCTATACCCTTTGATCCATCTCATGCGCTTCCACATCTCTGCAGAAGAAGTCACACTGTCTATGCTAGTGCAAAATGAACGGAAGGATTCATTTTTGGCTTGTCGTATAAGTCTTTGTGCCTCACTCACTTTTTTCTGCAAAACTTCAAGATTTTGTGGGGTCGGATTTCTTCTGAAAGTGGATAATGCTAGTCGTCTCTGTGCAACAATATGCGATAGATTTTGATTCCAATATGGTTTTGGTATGAATTTATTTGATTGTAGAGGATTCATGCACAGTTTAATCGTAGGAATGAATTCATCGGCTGCAGCATTTATAGTATCCATGAATTTATTATATGCGGATTGGTGATCTGCTGGCAATTCTAAGTGTTATTTGTGCCTCTATTTTCTCACTGTACTTTTGCCAATCCGCTCTTTTGAAGTTTCTTCGTTTTTTAAAGCTGTGTGATTTATTGTTTTGCATACTAATTTTAATTAACATGTGATCACTCCCCAGATTTTCATTCATGACCCCCCATTTGAATCTCAAAGCCAAATCTGTTGACACAAAAGTTGTATCTGGGGAGGAACTTTGCAAAGCTCCATTGACTAATTTTATTCGTGTGTGAGAGTTATCATTGAGTATACAAAGGTTGCTGTCCATTATTGAATCAAAGATCTGATTGCCTCTTGTATCTGTCCTGGAAGACCAATTTGAGTGATGGCCGTTCAAATCGCCTGCGACGAGAGCTTTATGTTGAGCTAATGAGAACACTTCATCCCAGTCATTTCTGCATGTATTTACTGACGAGGGACAGTAAATAGAAACGACGTTTTCTAGATGATTGCAGTTGAGTAATTTAATTTTAATAATTTGTATTTGCGAATTTGTTATGTTTACATTACATTGTGTAGCTCTAATAGAGTGATGAGTAAAGACAGCTACACCCCCATAACCATCATCACGATCTGCTCTGAATATGTTGTATCCACTCAGTCTGATAACCTTTTCAGGATCAAACCAAGTTTCACTGATTACAGCTATATGAATTTTTTCCTGATTTAGTAAACTTTCAAATTCCATCATTTTTGGTTGTAAGCTCTGAGCATTCCATTGTAACACATTGATGTTTATGTGCCTGTTGTTGTTATCCATTTTTTAATTTTGGTCATAATAGGCATTTCTGTTATAAACTCCATAATAAAAGATGAAACCCAATCAAATAATACTTTCACAGAATCCATCACTTTATTCTCCAAACTAGCTTCACTATCCCAAATTATTTCCTTTAATTTAATCCATACCAATTTCCAGTTATTGTTATTCTTTTTCTTATTTAATTCATCTGCTTTTTCTATATTTTCGTGTGATATTTCGGACTCACTGTCTGTCAAAGTCGTCCAGTTAAACACCGTATCTGATTTCTGTTTTTTCTTCGCGTTCTCCTTTTTGTTACAGTATTTTTGTGTTATAGTAGCCTTCTTCTTTACTTTCTTAACTGTGTCAGCATATGTGTTTTTATTTGTGATGCAGATCTTTTTTCTGTGTCTGTACTTTGGTTTAACACCTGATGTTCTATTTCCGTATCTTGTACTCTTCCTTGTAACTTTTGCACGTTATTTGGTTCAGGGGGGACGTAAAGTGTTAGAGCTCTTTTGTAAGTGCAATTAAACTCCGCCATTAATTCCCTTATTTTCCTTTCTTTTATATTGGGCATGTACGAGACAGTGCCATGTGTTTACCAGAGCAATTATTACACTTGTAGCTTACAGTGTCACAATTGGGGTGAGACTGGGTACATTTAGGACAGATCTCTTTAACAGATGAACAAACTCGGACTGTGTGCCCGAATCTCCAACAACGAGAACATTGAGTTACAGGAAATTGATAAGGACTAACTTTTATCCTAGTTTCAAATATGTATACGTAGGCAGGTAAGGATGATCCTTTAAAAGTTATTCTGACTGTTTCTCCAGGTTCCCACAGGCCACTATTTGTGTTACGGCGTTTTAATCTCTTAATACCTGTTATCTCAGTATCACAAGTTAAACCCTCGAGTATTTCTTCCTCCGATGAATCTAAGTCTATATCTTTAATAACACCATAACTTTCTTTTATCTCTAGTGTTTTTTGGCATTTCAGTCCTTTTTCTTTAAAATATTGAGATTCTATCAGTTTATTTGCACTTTCTTCGTTACTAAATTGGATAAGAACTTTGAATGCGTTAATGTATTTAATTTTTGTAATGTCCGGGATGTTTTCTAATTTTAACAACTTGGCAAGTCCAAACTGTTTTGGTATTTTGTCTGCAGAAGTTATACTAATTTCTATTTTATCTTCAGGTATTCTTATCTCATCGGACACCTGGCTTGTTCGGGCAAAACGTTTACCACGCCTCGTTATATTTGTCCACATTTCATCGTGATCAATCTGTCTAGTTCTTTTACTGCATCTCACTCCGTCAGTTTCTTCAATATTTTGTATAGATTCTTCTAATATCTCCATATTCTCACAATTACTAATAGTCTCCCTACACGCTCCTATTTCATTATTCTCAATAGCTATCTCAATTGATGGTTCGAATTCAAGTTCGCAACTATCCATCACTGATAAGCATTTCTAAACAATTAAACATATGCGCGGTCGAGCGCAAGTGGTCAAACCGGTTCAAAATTGCCACAATATGCGCGTCTTACGATAACACGCGCCCGCGCGCAACTGATGCAAGAATTTGTATTGTCATTTGTAGGCTGCCTATTGTTTGTGACGAATTCATGCATTCGTCAAATGACGCAACGCAGCTTAGGCCGTGTGATTGAGGTTATCGGAGACCCAAATCTCCCAATCTACAAATCCTTAATTCCCAAAAGGCCGGCAACGCTCTTGTATTTTCGCTAGTTTTGCGAATACCCATGGGCGCCGATTACTTACCGGCTTGTACCATAATAAGTATCTCTCTAATATCTTTAAAACTTTAAGTCAACTAATGAAATTACAGTTTTTGAACATAACATAACATAACGCCTTTTTATCCCCGAAGGGGTAGGCAGAGGTGCACATTATGGCACTTGATGCCACTGTACAATGTAACACCCACTTTTCACTATTTATGATATAATTCCCATGTAATAGGGGGTGAGCCTATTGCCATATACCGGACACAATTCCAGACTCCGTGCTACTACTGATTTTTTTTAAACCCAGTAGAACTTTGCCCGACCCAGGAATCGAACCCGAGACCCCTTGACCGGCAGTCGCATTTGCGACCACTCGGCCAACGACGCAGTTTTTAGAATCATTATTTGTTGGTATACGTAAAAATGGTATGAATTTGTGATCCCTGTAGTGTGAATGGAATAAATAACCAACTAAATACTGATTATATACTTACAGACACCATCTGGTACTGTAGAGTTGCTCGAACTTGTTGGGGGACTGAATAACTGGTCTGACTATTCCCGATTCATCAACAATATAGTAAATGGGTTTATCCTGTAAACAAAAAACATGTTTAGAAATCAATTGAGTGCATACATCAGTAGCACATCAGTAGTCTATGAGTACCCACTGCTGAGCAAAGGTCATTCACATGGAGAAGGAACAAATACTAATCCCCACACTGATGAATATCAGAGCAGTGGGACAAGTAAATGATGATAATGATGTGTTTAAGCACGGAATAGAGAATATATTACTAAAACCTAAAATATACTTACAACAAATGTCGTGTTTGCTGGACAATCTACATTACCATTCTCGTTGTTTCCATTTCGGAAACTAAAGCCTGTTCTAAAGCCAATGCCATAGGTTTCCTAAAGTAAAAAAATGGTTTATTAACAAACGTACAATATCATAAACACATGACACCCAGATCCGAAACAATAATTTGTACACATAAAGAGTTGTTCTGTGCGGGAATCGAACCCGCCAGACGTTACGCGCAGCCGGTGGCCCAGCCACCGCGCCAACCGTGCAGTTTATATATTTTTCTGATAACTGTCATAACCTTGCTAATCACCGTGTATGTTAAAGCATACTCATAAGAACAGATATTATATGCATAATTATATGTATAGAATTTTTTATGCTTCTTTGTTCTTTTAGCATTACAGCTTATTGCGCCATGCCCTGTCTCTGTGCCACCCTTATGCAGAGAATGCCTAATGCACACATAAGTCCACCTTTGTCCTATATGTGCAAGAAGTATAAAATAAATAAATAAATTAGTTATTTAAATAGTCATAAAGTTACAAATATGATCTTTACCTGTATAGGGTAGGTTTTTAACAATTTTTCGACCTGTTCTTCAGGATAGTTATCACCCTTTTCGAAACAGAAAGTTTGGCCTACGCATGATGGAGGCATCTCGTCTGTAAGTTTTTTAAAAATAATTGTTATTGTTCTGAATTATTTAATGTTTTTTTTACCTTCAAAATAACTTAATTATGTAAACGAAAAAAAAACTATACATGATGAAAATTACGTCACCGCTCGGTGTGTTTCTTATTTCCGAGACATACCTAATTATGTACTTTCTAAGATTATTTTGACACCACTGACAAACGGCGAAGGAAAATATCGTGCGGAAACCAGGGCTTTTAATTTCTAATTATAAGTTTGAAAACACTAACCGAAGCAATGAGCAAGCGAGGTGATTAATGCTCAAACCTTTTCCGTAATAAGCATTGGCCACTTATAGTTTGTTGATGATGATGATGAAACGAGTAAAGAAAACACACTTACATTGGACAGTGTTCAAGCCGCTGAATATTTCACCGTCCACGGGATTACCCATAGATTTAGAAAAACATAAGGTCACAGCAATCTGTAAATGTTAATAACATGAGCAAAAAAAAATTACACCCAACAATTACAAATGTTAAATAACTTACAGGTTTACTTACTAGCCAAATTGAAGTGGAAAATCGATGCATTTTAATAAAAATTACAGATACAGTTTTGTCCAGTTCATAAGTTTGCTTAGCGATTATTCGACAAGTGAATATCAAAAACCAATGCAGTTCCTTTATATACGTGTATTCACAGAGGGAGGAAAAATATAGCAAAAATACGTTAAATAGGTACTTATGTTATCATTAACCTTACTTCGATATGTGTTATTTTGTAGTTCTTTGCAGGAATGTATAAATTTTTAGAAGCATATTTACTAAATTAAATGAAACGGTAATACGATCAAATTATAGTTCTAAGGTTGTGGTGTTTGTTTTCTTTACAGAATTAACCAAATAAGAAAAATACAATATTGTTTCATTCTATACGCAAACGTACCTAACCGCGTTCAAAATATTTTTCAACAATACATTATTCATTTATTTATTTACAGCCATGATGGTCACAGTGCAAGGCAAAGGCCCCTACCACAGAAATCTTAATAATAAGGCGATATTATTAAGATTTCTGTGTACCCTACCTTCCTGGAAGAAATATTGAACTGTATCCATTTTAAATCAAACCTCCTTTTACTGAATGATCTAACCATAAAAAAACACGCTTTTAAAAGTATCAAACAAGAAAATCTTCTATGGATGTTCTAGCCGTGATCGTGTGTTACATTGTTCTACAGTACATGATACTGAAAAAATTTTCTTGTTTAAAACTTTTTATAGTGTGTTTTTTCGTAGTCGGGTTTCAGTTAGTTTTTTTAGTTTTAGTTTTTTCCTACTTTTTTTAATTCTATTATTTTGGGGTGTAAGTACAAATAACTAAAATATACTAACAGTGGTAATCCAATTAAACTGTGTACCACCAGCAGCAATTTGTAAGAACATTTTGTAAAGAATGCAAGTTTCTTGAGCAGGTTAGAGATAATAAGTGTAGCTCGACAACTAAGGAATAATTTTATTCAATTTTCAAAAATGTGTCCTGTTTATGTAAGTAATTTGGCGAGTTACATATATAGATAGATAAAACCGTAATATAGTTATATCTCTAGGAATATAATTATGTATATACCGTAACATAGTTGTACAAAAGCGATTCATTACTATCTCACTAGGAATATAGTTATAATACGTTTCAAATTCAGTGAAATAGCTTTCGGAGTGTGTGGCGGCTCGCTGGCGGCTCGCCGCTACTAAGAGATGTGCCTGTAATAAGTAGTGTGCGTGGCAGGATAATCTCCGGCGCGATCTCATGGCGAAATTGCAGCAACGAATGTCACCACCAAGGGTTAGGTTCGCTGCCATTAACAGCGCTAAGTCCCCTCTTTGAGGAGTGACTTAAGAGATGCTATGGCGTCCTCACCTACCGTCTGACGCAGGTGCTTACCGGACATGGGTACTTCGGGAGGTATCTGTGTCTGAAAGGGCGGGAGGAAACGCCCGGGTGTCATGACTGCTAGGACCGCCCTGAGGACACGGTATTTAACTAAACTGAATATAGTAATACAAGTGTATCACTAAACTTGGATCGTTTTGTAACTACATATATTCCTAGTGAGATGGTAATGTATCGCTTTCGTATAACTATGTTACGGTATATAATTATACCCTTTATCTATCTTATTACGACATACTTATATGTATATGTTTATCCTACTAATATTATAAATGCGAAATTTGTATGTTTGTTTGTTACTCCCGTCACAACGGCTGAAGCAATCGTGATAGATTTATTTGAAACTAGTGTTGCCCAAATTCAGTCTTGGTCTTGCAGTCTTGGTCTTGTTCTTGCGTTTTTGCAAGACCAAGACCAAGAACAAGACTGCGTATTTTTAGCAAGACCAAGACCAAGACTGACCGTGCAAGACTTGAGCAAGAACAAGACATAGCCTGCAAGACTCTTGCGTCTTGCAGCTAGGACTTAGCGCTATTTCACTGAGTAGTTAGGTGTAACAGTTCGGTGTATAGGTAGGTACGCTTAGGAATTCTATGAGACGCAAAAAACTGTATCCAAGAATATGAAAAACTGGACCTATGCGCATTACGACTAATACCATAAACATAGCGAATAAAAAAATATCTATTAAAATCAAACTGAGTGCATGCATAGTTATGTTTTAACCATCGGCACTTTGATAATGCGGCATCAAAGGTTTTGTACTTACTTCTCAAAGAAATTTGCCGCTTTTCGGAAGTACAAGGTTATGATACACGCGCCGGCGGCTTCTTTTGAAATCTAAAACAATCGTTGCCGCCACGCCGAAATCATAACATTTGACACTATTTGATTGCCGCCATAGGGCGTAGGTATACTCATGCAAAATAATTTCGAATTTTAAGAGTACCTACAGGTGTTCCAAAGAATAAATAAGTTTCAGAGTGCTTAGAATGAAAATGAATACATTATACTGATCACGCAAGTAGTATTATGATTAGGATAAAATGGTAAGGATAGGTAGTAGATGCATGCATATTCATATTAATTCATTCTAGTAAGTATATATTATAATATTGATTACTTATATGGTTTTAAACTAATTACTTAGGTACTATTATTGTACGAAAAATAGCAAAAAAGTGTTCAAATATCACCCGTTTAATAAATATTGTAGCCACTTTTAAATATACTTGAAACGTGTAAAAAAATTCTACAAAACTAATAAAATAATATAAAAAGCGTAGGTACTTACCTACTAATAAAATAAAAAGCCTGTGATAAGAGTTTTGTATTACTTACCAGCCCGAATATCTCTGAGAGAGATGATGAGAGTAAGTATTTACTAGCTGTGCCCGCGACTTCGTCCACGAGGAATAGTAACTTTGGAGGTATAGTGACGTTCAGGACTTATTTATTTATTTTAAACTTCTGTCATCAAACATACAAACGAACTCTTCAGCTTTATAATATTAATATAGATGTACGCCAAAACATTCACTTATATGTAAAGAATAGTGATTGGCACTAATTCTTTACATAATTATATTTTATTCACGCGTCGCGTCTGTACAAGTAGGTAATATTTTGTGTGTGTTTGTACGCCGCACGCTTCCATGGAAAACGTCATATAGGTCAGTTTTTCGAATTTCTTATCAAATCTTCAGTTATTTATTAATCTGCTTGATCTTTACTATGGCTATGTTAATTCAAGCTCACAATGTTCTAATTCTAATACGTTTTTCTAAGATTTAAAGTAAACTTTAATAAATAGTAATAGACTAATAGGTAATTGCAAGACTTGCAAGACTCTTGCTGCAAGACCAAGACCAAGACGAAGACTGGGAGCGCAAGACCAAGACCAAGACCAAGACCAGGTGTATTGGCGCAAGACCAAGACCAAGACTGGCTAAGTCTCGTCTTGTTCTTGCATTTGGGCAACACTATTTGAAACAGCAGTAGATTATGATCTGGAATAACACAGACAACTTTTTATCCCATGGGAACAAGAGCGAAGCCGCTGGCAGAAGCTAAGTATTAAATAGATTTAAGAATCAATATAAAATATTTCAATATAAATATCTAATTCCTAACGACATTTTGACATCCAAGATATTGCAATGTGCTTCATGAAATATGTGACAGTTGCTAGCAGTCATTCATGGCACACGAAGCTGAATTTCTTTTGGTTACCTAGTTTATTATAAAGATATTAATTATTGTAGAAGTGATAGATATATTTAATTTAATATGTTACTTAATTTTTAATGTTTAATATTTCATAATGATTACTGTTATATATTAACAATCCGATTCTAGATTCTAATCTCATTTGCGCATAGAGAATGCTCGCACTAGATTATTTACAAGCCGTATTACTATCTTAGATATTTTTACTATAGTAACAAGTTCACATCGGTTGAAGGTAACAATAGATAGAACCCTACTTTAAACCTACTCGAAATTAACCTGCAGACCTTTGAAATTACACTTAACTTGTTGGGCAATTTCATAGTTAAATTCGTAATTTGAAACTTCAACTTACGAATACACACAATAGGTACTAACCTATAAATATATAATTTTGGAAATAGGACATAACAAACAAAAACAGATGTGTGCAATACAAATATTTATTACCCTTCTAATAATTACATTAATATTTAACGCAGATAATTATTTAATTAAAGATCGTTTTTATATGAAGTTAAACAAGTTGTTAGGATTTGTTTGTGACGTGGCAAGAACAACAGACAGTAACATTATAATTTCATTCTTAACTTTGTCTATGCGGGGGTCATAAACTAGTAAAGACCGTTCCGCTATATGCTCTTGGCAACTAGACTGCATGCCCAAAGTACTGAGTCCCAGGTTCGCGAAGCATTCGTCTCCATTTTCCATCTTATCATACCTGTAACCAGAATAAAAAAAAGGTTTCATAACGAAGTATTTAATTGACATGTTTTACAAAAAGTAGTTGCTTTTAGCCTACGTTTATAAAACGTTACTTTTCTTTTTAATTTTGAAATTAAAACCTGCTTCGAAGTGTTACAAATACTTTTCTGAAAAACATATCTAAATCGGTCCAGAAAATAGCGAGATAATTGCGTACATATAGAACAAACTGAGAGCCTCCTTTTTAGAAGTCGGTAAAAAATACTCACGCGCATTTAACTTCTGTGATTTGTTGGGGTATAAGTTTGGTTTGCACGATGATGTCCACTTCTTTAGGGTTGTGGCCATATATATAAACCGATTTCGTCTGTAACGTAATAATATGAAATATTCATTAATATGTAGGAGGTAATATATTAAACTTTAATTACTCGAGTGGTTACAAGCGGGAGTGCCGAGTACCTATATGGTTTGAATTACTGAGTTTGAAAAAGCATCATTGACTTTTACTTTCTTGATTTGTAGTTAGCATTGAATTTGTAATTCGCCTAGTATATTACAATAGGCTTACATTGGGGCTCTTAACTTAATTGAAAAAAATGTGTCGTTATATTATTTAATATGTGATTTTAATATTAAAAGTAAGCAGGAAATTAAATTAATTTTGGCTCGAGTGATGATTAGATAGAACATTAAGTATATT